GGGTCGAGATAACAGCATAACGACTATTATTGTATACTCCGACGTGTTAACATTTGGAATACTGTCAGTGTCAGTTAGTTACAGAGTGTTGCTGCACCTCCACAGTCTGGGATTTAATTTCTTTTTGTTATTATTATTTTTCTGGTAGGAATTTCAATAACAGAGTCGTTAATCTGTGTAATTTTTAACCTCCAAGTACAGTGAATTAGTCCATTGAATAAGATAACTGAGTACAAAGACTTGATTGAGTACAATCTTAACCTATGAGTACAATAATCATTTAATTCGTGATCTGTAAAGTTAGATCCAAAGTGATCCATTATTTGAACTATATTGGTGATATATACAGTACGATACATAAACCTCAGTACAGCAATAATAAAACCATTCATACATACGTAAATATATTCATACTTATCTACAAAAATAAATATACGCAACATGCATATCTTAGTGACCAAAGCTGAACACAAGACTCTTCGGTATCGCTTCTTAATTACTGTAGGCATCTTAACAAGTCTTACTTTACACTACTGACTTTAACACACTAGTTAATTAGGTAACTTGTCATTTAATGTTTTGGTCAATTATTATGACTGCTGGTCTTCTTCACTCACGCTCACAGCATCGTCTGACAGTCACTGAGTTCACACGTTTTTGCATCTCTTTTGCTTTGGGAATTGTCAGTATTTTTGTCATCTACTTTACTTGACTTACTAATAAATTGTAACTGAGATATAAAAAATCTTCAACGTAAATTTTCGTCGATTTAGAGTACATTTACAAAGAGCCTACTTGTCTGGTGTGGAAATTCAGACTTAATGACCAGTAGTTGTTTTTTTTTTAAGTATAGTAGCTATTGAAGTACTTAAGATATATTTAAATAATATAAAGTGTTAGATTCCTGTTGATGATCCACCGCCTTCATATTCTCAGTTCTTCAAGCGGCAGGTAGAACGAGAAGACTAGTAAAATCACACCCAAGAACCCTGCAAGAACTCTGGCCTCAAACCAACATCAACGTTAGCTATGCTCCACGACGAGATGCCTGATAAGAGTAATACATTTTCACTCAGTTCTTAAAATTGTCATCTGTAGAAGCACTCTTAACCTAACGAACAGTGTTTAAATACCCCTGGCAGTTGAAACTTACTCCAAAACAAAACAACAGAATGTGGGTCACTTGAAAACTTTTGTCAACTCCGCGTGATGTGTGACTTATTTTTTATTTATGACTACAGTATCACAATACAATAAATACTGATGTCAAAACCATAATAAGTTAATTGAGAACCAAAGGGAAATGTTAGGTAGAGAAATGCAGTAAATTACTTAAGGAAAAATTCTAATCTTGTTGACTGTAAGTGAAAAAAAAAGATACTTTGTAATAGAATAAAAAGTCCTGTTACGATTAAAAGGAACCAATTAGAACTCAAAACAATCCAATTTGGCGAAACAGTGATGATTTTAATGTAATTTTTAAAAGACTGGGAACATTTGAGAAGGAAAACAAGAGAAGAGATGCAGTTCCAGTAATAATAAACAAGCAGGGGGGCACGCGGACAATGTTGACGGCTGTATTTACTTAAGTGATTCTATCTCCGTCTCGGGCAGTACACCCAGCAACAAGTATATTACTTAATTTCCGCATTCGAGAATAGAGATTCGGTGTGGATGTGTATTTATACAAGGATAATTACACCACCCGAGATAAATGAAATGTTTCACCTAGGCTTGGAACACAGTCCTCGGGAACCTTTGTATCCTCTATTTAAATCGATAATAACTAAAGCTTAATGTATAAACCAAGTCTTTTTTTTTTCATATTAGGCCAATGATATCACTACCCGGTACTTCAGTGAAAACTTATGACATCAGCAGAACCAGTTATCCCATCGGGTCAATGAATCCAGGAAGTTTATGACATCATAGGACCAGTGATGTCATCAGGTTCAACGACTACGGAGGCTCTGACTTGGGTGACGTGAAAGATAACATCGGAGCCTTAGAGGGTTGATGTCCTGTGGCAGCGTGGGGTCAGGAGGGCCACGGAGCGAGCAACACCAAGGAGGAAAATAACAATCCAAGAATGATATTAATAAAGGCAAGGAAAAAGATAAGAACAGGGAATAAGGATAACAAAAAATAGAGGGTATTGTGATGAACGAGAGGGAGAGATCACAACGGGATAAATAGCTAAATAACGAAGCTAATCATGCAGAGAAATGGTAAGTGAAATAATATAGTGAGAAGGGAAGAATGTGTAGGCAGTGCAATGCAAGAAGGCAGGACGAAAAATGTTAAGCTGCAGTAATGAGACCAACAGACAAGTGGAACTGTAAACAATTGTGAAGACGATCCAAAGAGTAAAACTGCAATTGTAATGTAAACAATCAATTCAGGATCAAACAATAGTGCAATAAACATGAACCATGAGATGCAAGAACGACTGAAAGAGCAGCATTGCACTACCCACGACGGCGTATGTATACAAGAACAAGGAATAGAAAGCAGCTTTACCAACATGACTCCCATGACGATGCTGTACAGTAAAGTCTTCACAATGAGCGTCCTTCTCAAGGATGTTGGTCGTGTGAGCGTGTCATCTTGGTTCACATGTAGCAAGGCTCTTCACTAGTGTCTTGGGATATTTTCATGAAGATCGATTCGCAATTGTTTACGTGAGAAAAAAATAAACACGTAAACAAGCCGAACAAGAGCTTGAAATAATAATACGTGAAGGAATTCTAGTAACGCCGACAACTTACACAAGTCTGCTAAAAGAAAAGTCTCGCCTCTTGTCCCGCGACAGATGTGTACGTGTAGTCGAGCTCTTCCGTTCGTCTTTTTTTAATACATTTGTAAATCTTAAAGATGATCTTTAAAGGAAGCGTAAACATCGTAGTTCCCTTTTCACGAAGAATTGGCTCAAAATATTGTAAACTTTTTCTTCATGTTCGTAAATCCGCAGTTATTCAAAAAGAAGTAAATTTTGAAGTTAGTTGCACACATAAGAATGACTCATTAATGGGATTCAGATTGACATTTCCATTACTGTAAGACAACATCTAATTTGATCTTCATTGTGTAGGCAAACATTGAGTCCTTTAGTTAGTGACATCGTTGTTTAAAGACAATCACTAGTGACAATAAGTCCTCGAGATGCTTGGGTAGCTGCGTCCCTCCTATTAACCATTTGTCAGTGACATTATATCGTGCAACAGAGCCTAGCATATTGATTCTGGAGTTGGAGACTTACAGGACAGGGAGCAGGAAACGGTGGTGCCACACGGTAAGGCAGTAATGAACCAGGATGCCATTATATGTTTGAAGAGTAAACACCTACATTCTCGGCGAGACCGGACGCCGCGCCGCCTTGAAGACGCTGATGGTGAACCAGAGAGGTGATGGAGGGCTAGTGAGGGAGAGGTGGAGGCGGGGACGGAGGGAGGGGGTGAGATTGGTGGTGAGAGACAGGAGATAGCTAAGGAGAACCCCAGGCATTAATTACCAGCTGTCAACATCACCTTTGTGGAACCTTCAGGACACCGCAGCTAAGATAGGTGACCGTCTTTGTGTTATTTGAAGCGTTATCAGATAACAAGTGAAGATATTATGTATCAAATCCACCTTCCTGTGTTATTGTCTTAAAGGTCATCATGTTGACCTCTTATCCAGACCACAAAGACGCCTCCACACAGATAACAAGCAACACACATACTGTACGAACAGGAAAGATCGTTTTAGTATTGTACAAAAACGAGTCATTAATTCAGAGGGTCTCAACACGTCGGTCAGATGGCAGATGATGTAAAGGTTGGCTTCATAAACTGTTATTTTATTATGTGTTAAGTGTGAATGTTATCATGGGTGTTATCTCATGTTTTGCTTTCACTGATGACGTAGCAGTATGAAGTCATCTCCCACGACAAAGTTGTGATATTATTCAGCTGGAGCCTAACATGACGTCACTATGTCTCATCAACAAACAATACTGCTTCGTGTTTGAAATGTCCTGTCAAGCACACTGCTGGTGACGTTTGGAGCCTTTATAAAACTAATATTCTATAATGCTATAAATTTGCTATATAACTCTGCACTAAACTTTTTTTGGTAAGTGCGTTTAGTAAACTTATTAAGCTTACTTGTTGCGTTGACAACAGCCTATTTTCGTAAGACATTTAAATCGCAAGGGTTATTTACACTTACAGCCACACATGAATTACGGGAGCTTATGTAATCGTAAGTGGACTTTTTTTTTTTTTTACCTCTTGGACAATTAGTTTATATTGTAAGCATTGCCACGGATTTTTATAGGTGGAATGACCGACTGTTCCCTCTCCCCTTCCCACCTTGTTCTCGTTTCTCTCCCCACTCCTACCTCTTCTCATTCTCTTATTTTGTTCTCTCCTTCGTTATATTCTTTGACTGTCGTTACCTTCAGGTGCTAACTCTTCCCCAGATGTAGTGAGCCTCTAGACCCAACCTGAATGCCCGTTACCATTCCTCTTACTCAGCATAAACAAACGTCACCTCGTGTTTGTAGAGCTTACCAACCAGAGTTCATTCACTCGTGTTCAAAGGAGTGTTAAGATCATCCGAGGTACTTTGACGATGTGTTGATGTATCATATTTTATTCAATTAAATGCTTTTGATCGATAGTATTTTCCTAGAATGTTTTTGTGGGTATTAATATTTTTTTTCTCCAATTTCCTTAGAATAATTAACCATAAACACCGTGCAACAACAAAAACAATGACCTTTATGTAATGTTTATCCTTTAAAATGAATCAGTATGTGTTCTGTGATGTAACCAAGTTTGTTTTAGGATTAAGTCAAACAAAACCAGTTTACCATTGCCGTGAGTGTAGTTTGAAATGGTGGTGATATATTCTTAAAATGAGTCAGTTTATATTCGTGTATATGGGTGTGTTGTTATTATTCATTTATAAATCAGTGTAACGATGACTGTGTGTGTGTGTGTGTCTGTGTGTTTCAGTATCGAGAACGTCACGTAGAAGCGAGCGTGGACTGGGGCACCTCCTTATTGGAATTACTGGAGAAATTGGGTTGCCCTTCTGACGCAGAGACCGGCGAAGTCCAGGCTCAAGCTAATGAAGTCTACACATACCGCAGAGGTAAGTCCAACCTTCTTACCCCTTCGTCACCAACACACTAGTCTGATATCTTTTCCTGACACCACCACCACCACCTATTCTACCTCCTATCTACACTACCTGATATGTCTACTCTCTGTCATGTCTACTTCTTATTACGTCTACTTTCACTCATGTCTACTACTGTCATATCTTCTTACCTTATTTTTTTTATCTCTTTCTCAGTTATTTCATTATTTTTATCCATCTCTCACTCTCCTAGTCATTTTCTCTCGCTCGTTCTTTTTTGTCGTAATCTACCTTTTTCTCATTCTGGTACATTTTCGTTTCTCTCTCTCTCTCTCTCTCTCTCTCTCTCTCTCTCCATAGTTAAGTATCAAGTCTTAATTTTTCACCCAACTACCCCTCACCCCTCCAAAGACGACCCCTTCCCCTCTCCCTTCCTTCACCCTCTAAGACCACCCCTCCCCCGCCCTCTAAGACCACCCCTCAAGGACCACCTCCTTCTACCACTCCTTCCCTCTCCTTCACCCTCTAAGACCACCCTCCCCGCCCTCTAAGACCACTCCTTCCCTCTCCTTCCTTCACCCTCTAAGACCACCTCCCCCGCCCTCTAAGACCACTCCTTCCCCCTCCCCTTCCTTCACCCTCTAAGACCACCCCTCCCCTGCCCTCTAAGACCACTCCTTCCCTCTTCCTTCACCCTCTAAGACCACCCCTCCCACGCCCTCTAAGACCACCCCCCGCCCTCTAGTAACATCTCTCCTGCAACGCCCAATTCCACTTGCCAATACCTAAAGCCTTTATCTTATCAATCAGTCTCTAACACGTCTCCAATTATCCTCCTAACATGAAATTGGTCTTTAAATAAATATTATAATTATGTAGATTAAATAATTTCTAAGGTGCTTGTGAATAAAATGTTATTAAGATATGATTCAATATTGACTCGAAAGTGAACATCTTTGAACAAAACATTATTTACATATATTCAGTACATCTATGCTTATTATATTACTTTCTATTATTTCATATTATATATAAAACAGATATTCTCTTTGGAGTCATTGTTGATTTATTAAGACAGTTATAAATTTTTAGTAAATATGTTTGTCGAATAAACTAATGTTAAATGAATATATAAAGTTAAATTAATATATTAACTAAATAATTCACATCTGATATAAACAAATGAACTTTTAACTAGATACTAGAATGCACACTTACGCTAAAACAAAAGAAAAAAATAAATAAATGTTTGGGATTATGGTGAGACAGTACACCACCTTCAAGAACACACACTATGTAAACACTGTGACGCTCTGATGTATCACCCGGTAACTATGGTGTGAACGCGCGTCTCGTGGGCTCGTTCTTAGTCAGTACTTTTATCATTATATTCTCCACTGAACGCTAATGTTTGAAGGTCAGTATAGAATAGAATCTCTAGTTTCACTGCCGATCGTTAATTTAATGCAAGAAAAAACAACACTTGCGACTTAAATAAACTCTGAAGCAGAAATAAAGTCACTACCATTTTTAAATTAGAATATTTGTCAAGTAAACACATAAATTATTGCCTTTCGGGACACTTAATAACGATGTAAGAACATATTATCCCCCAGCTGCGGTAACTAGTCATTATAAACGGACAAAAAAAAAATGGGGGGAGCATTTTTATGATCTGGTTGTCCATCTCTCGTCATCACCTCTGTTCTCTCTCATCAACTGATAACCTTAGTAAGCGTCCTATTAAGGGTTTAATATGTCCAGAGTGCCTTCATTGCCCGGGCGGTTACCAGGTGTCACTTGAAGCACAGAGGATGTTCATGTTTACCTCTGACTCGTTGAGGCGCTTGTGTCATATCCGCACACAAGCACCTGCACCCTCGATGGAAAGTTTGTCTGTGTATGAATATATTTCAACATGGCTGCAGCTAGTATAAACAGATATCCCGTGAATTCCTACATTAAAGGAATTCTTGTTTAATATAGACTTTAAAATTGTCCGCGTACGACTCATCATTGTTGTATATTTTTTCGGGTTTTTATCTTCTAATGCATATTCAGCATTTTCAAAGTAAGCTGCCATGAAACGACCCACACACTTTTTACACAAAATTCAGACACGTTACGGTAACCTTGGCAGTCCTCGTAAAACATCCCAGAAGTAAACTATTCGTATACTCTCTCACCTCACAAAACCTTCGTGAGAAGATCGATTAACAACATTTCGTTTTATTACTACAGGTTTTCGTAATTTTCCACGTAATCAAGAAACTGTCATGACAGAAAGAAAACTTGGTGATTCCCTTGATTTTAGCTGCCCAGGAAGAGGTTTTGGACGATAGGTCAGACGACTTGGCTTGGGGGCGTTTAGGTCATGAAATACTTTCTGCTTCAGTTCTTATTGGCAGTGGTTACTACAAAATGTGAAAGAAAAAAGCGGTATCCTCTCCCCTAAATATGTAGATCTTTATGTAGCTGTAGACCAGTTTTTAGATCTCGAGAAATTCCAAATTGTTATCTAGAGTAAGAAAAAAAATATCGAGTCCTGATTTTCTTGTGCATTTTTTTATTATTTGCCATGTGTGTGTGTTCGCATTGATGCATGAGGCTTGAACCCAATAGATAAATGACTTGTATGTCTTTTGTTGTTGTTTTAAAAGTATAGCAATTTGGTACACATATTCTTTAAGATAAATTGGTATTACTGAACCAATCTCCGCCTGGCACCATTTTGACGAGTAGTGCAGTGGTTGTCGCTTTTGTTGTGGGTGGCGCGCGTTGCCCCTACTGGCCGCCGCCACCTCCACCACCACGCCCCACGGTGCCTCTGCCCACCCAAGCCACCATACAACACTCGCTAGGACACCCTCTGCAGGTAGTTATGTTCACCAGACTAGATTAGATCAGAATCTTAAATGTGAAATGGGGTGATGACACTGGATGGGCGTGTGAGTGAGCCGGGGCACCCTGGGGGTGGTGTGGCTTGTCCTCGTGATGAGACGCCAGTGACCGAGCCTCCCTCTCTCCCGCCGCCTCCCAGCTGTGAGGTGTCAGAACCTCCAGTACGGGGAACCTTGTCCCACTTTCACGCAGCCCATCACCCCTCCCGACCGAGGTAAGGCCCGGGCCTAAGTCCAGCTGCGCTTTATCAGGGGCAGCCCAAGCGGCGGCCGGGCCCCAATTACTGCATGCACTACCCCTCCACCACACTTGCTGGGGACAATCACTACTTACACCCGCCTGAAACCGCACCTGTCTATGTAGCTCCCATTCTTTAGCTTACACCACCAACTGTGTCCTTTAGTTGTATACACACCCACTGCCCCCTCCTAATGTAATGAGGGAACCAAATACATGGCACTGACATTAATAACAGGAGCCTCGGCACACCCTTCCTCACCACACCCTGCGAGGCTCTAGCATATCAATCCCACGAGGGGACTACGAAAAGTGAAATGTCTTGGGTATCGTCTTGGATACCTGGCAACCTTTCGTCTTCCTCTCAGCCTCCTGGGTTACCGTGGCCGAGCTGGAGATGGTCTCTGTGCTGGCTAATAGCATGAAAACTAACACCATTTAACTTAAATATCTGCACTCCTTTTGATGGCACCATTAACCATTGCTACATTGTCAAGAATCAGTTAAAACTAGCATGTAACACCAGTCCGCGATTTTGATGTCAGACACATTTTACATTTACAGGGTTAGATGTCATAATTTTGGAATCGACATAAAAAAAAAAGTTTCTAATCAATTATGCGCGATAAAAATATTGTGTTTATAAAGTATATTAAATGAAAAGAAGAATGAGGAGTAACGGATGACATCAACCACCAGAGAATGAGGAAACACACAACTAACCCACATAACACTGCATGGCCAAACACTACGCCTTACTGCCTCAACACACACAACTCTCATCGTGATTCTCTTACAATTTATGTTGTTGAGTATTATATATTAATCTTGTTTAAATACTTAAGAGTCCTGATTTGATCCACGAAAAGTTTACCAGTATTCGCGTTAGGTTTTGAAGCCCCGAATAATGTATAGCAAATTTGAGATAACTCAGACTTCACCAAGATACTTAAAAAAAATTACTCTTTCGTTTCAATCTTTATTTGAGTTTAAGATGTGGACTGTTACACTGTCCATAGTAATGAAAGTGATGGCAGCTTTTCGTGGAACTTAAATTGGATTGTCGAGCCGGAGGGAACAGTGCAATGTACGTACAGTATTGGTGTTTAGGATGAGATGAGGTTACTACTTACTGTCCTCACCCCTCTCTTGTATCGTTGACTTCAAACATGACTTGTATTGATCATTATATTTGAAGAGCATTACATATATTACACTACTTTGATAGATAATTACTCAATATTTGCCTGAGTTCTTCAAGCCATTTGTACAGTAATCCATTGTCAGTAAGATAACCAATTCCCCTGATTTATATTGGCCGCCCTCCGTGCTCTCCTGTACGGCTGCTCACCACTGTCTCGAGTCAAGTTATGTGGATTTGACTCGAAACTGATATTATATCTAATACATTAAAGTACTGTATTCATGTGCTAGATATTCTCCTTTTATGGGACATGAGGAAGATATAAAAGTTTGTATTCAGTAAAAGCCTTTTAATATCGAAGACATGAGGTGGTGTGTAGCCGACAGTAAACAGCTTACTTCATGACCTCATTTACAAATAATTAAACTAAGGGAAAATCCATACTGTTCCCTATAAGAGTTCCTTCAACATGAACTTCATTTATCAATGATGGAGTCAGTGTAATAAGGAACTTTGAGAGCTTCACTTAAATGTTTAATACTGTAATAGTTTCCGTAGTTAAGTTTAAGCTGCCAGACGTGAGCTTTTATAAGTTAATACCAAATTTCCCTAGATATTTTTTAAGCTGCCAGGTGTGGTGGTGACAATGAAGCATGCTTTCTTCTGACCACTTGCAGGAGACATTCCCATCATACACGAAGATGAGACCAGTAAGTACCGGGCCAGTCTGATGTCTGCCACACCCAGGTGGACTCCAACGGTTTGAGTCGTGAGGGTATAGAGAAGGTGTTGTATGGTGTAGGCTGATCATGAAGGTATAGCTTTGTCCTGTACCTGCGATTTGTTCATTAAAAAAAAAGAGAGTTGATCACGAGTGTAAGTTAGACAAGGTGTTGTATTCATGAAAGGCTTATGGGGATATGGGGGACTCCTGAAGGCGTAAGATGCTCTGGAAGGTTTTAAAATGACCATGAATGTGTAAGACTGAGTTTTGATAATTTATGCTGGTAGGTTCAGAAAATGCAGTCTGGTCTAAAGTGTAGACTCGAGGAGGTACTGTATACTTTAGTTAAGAGAAGGTAAAGACCAAACAAAGATATATTTACCTTTCCTACTCTTAAAAGTTAGTTTATGTAAAAATTGATTTAGTGAACGGTGCTTAATTAGTCATTAAATTACCATGGCCTCAGTAAAAAGTTGAATGTCATGATATACTTTAAATTTAATTATTATTTTAGATGGGCCACTTGTAAACAACAGTTGTATACATTGGTGTAATTTAGGTAATGGCCATCACTGCTTATGAAGATAGTGTGAAGTTTAGTAAGACGTTCAGTTATATACAGTATAGGTTAGGCATGTGTCCTTGAGTGTTACTGTTAGGTCCGTGAATGGAGAGGTCGGGGGGAAAAAAGAGTCATCATTTCTTACCAGTTTGTTGTATAATCTCTTGGTAAGTACTGTAATTCTTCCTGTTGAAATAATGTAAAATCCTTGTGTAATTATAGTCATAAACTGCTGTGTAGTAATGTTTTATAATTATTGTTGTAATTAGTGATATAGAACAGATATCAAATTTAGATTAACTTAATTCTATAAATTATCTTCCAGGAGAGTCTATTGTTGTTTTCATGATATAAATTGTTTTAAATATATAGCATAAAGCATAGTCTTAGACACCAAGTTACTGTACTTTTGTCTAGGATTATTATTGTCAGTTTTTGCTCCTCCTGACACTCGTTCTACCATAGCTAAATATGTGTGTATGTGTGTGTGTGTGTGTTAAGGCCAAATATTATTTTATATAGCCATCAACATTACAACTGCTGATGGTACTATGTAAACATATTTGTCCCTGGTTGTATAATGACATTGTAGCCTCGTAAAATATATTCCTTCAAATCCATTTAATTAGAAGTCATTCCAGAATTATTTATACGTTCTACTCTCCCCACAGGCACCAAGTTAGTCAAGACTCTGGCAGTACTGATCGAGACCATCAAGGAACTGCAGATAGAGATCCAGACACAGGTTGGTACAAAACAAAAAGCTGCCCCTTGAACTTGCCCCAACCCCACCGTGTGTGGTATCCATACTGTGCTGCCCGTTTAGTAACTTTGATTGTTTGTAACATTTTGCGTTTGTATCGTCAGAGTTTGATATAATGATCTTAATCTTTTTGTTTTTTAACTATGATAAACTTATAAAACACATGACATGAAAATAATGCAAGTTTAGTCTATTATGTTAATGTGTAAGGTATTGTTGTGTAAAATTCTTCTTTATTAGTTCAAGAGAGTTTCAGTGTTGTAAAGTGAGAGTAACATGAAGGTGGTGTTCTCCGGCAGCGCGAGGAGACGGCTCTGCTGCGTGACGCCCTGCTCAACTGCGAGGCCTGCAAACCTGGCAAACCTGGTAGGGGCAGCCAACCTGGCCGCTAACTCTTCTCTGTACTCCACCCTCCCTGTCTGCCCGTCCTCTCACCAGTCGTCCCCAGCTTGTTCATTATATCAGCTTAAAAGTCTCAGCTTGTGGACTTAACTTCTTTAAAAGTATATCTCGTTAAAGGGGACAAGTTTAAAGCTAATCAAATCGTTAAAGAGTAAATAACAGTTGGTCAGATATACAGTACGTCATCTTTATTTACTTTTGTCGAGTTGCTGGAGGTGCCAAGGAATACTTGACTGTTGAGAACTCGGATCTGACGGTGACGATGAGGGCGTTTCCTTTTGTTTTACATTGCGTCACTGTTTTCATTCTGGAATGTTATGACACATTGTTGATTCTAGAATTCGTAATACAGTATGTTCCTTTTTAGAGTTGATCTCCAGTTGTTGTGATAGTTTGACCTACCAATATCCGGGGTTTTCCGGATTAGTGGTTTTGCATTGAACTAATCACCAGTCTTTTGCCTTTATGATTACTTGAGAGGTGAATAAGTTTCTTTACTTCTGCTATAGTTAACTGCTTTATGAAAGACATAAAACACATAACCCAAGAAGTTTTGATAAGGCAGCACGATTTTAGCTGTCGATGAGTGACGTACCTGATGTTGGGAGTGAGGAAGGTACGATTCAGGGTTCTTGTATCCAATTTTACGCAGGTTCATGATCTGTAATGTGTTAACCAGGTAGCTTATTAATCTAGAAAATGCTATGTAGGATGTTTTGAACTGAGTAAAACTTGTTGAATCTAAATTCTAGTTTTTGTTCAACATCCTCATAGCATACTATCACTGCCCTAAAGAACCATGTTTATCTGGCCCGTAAGCTTCCCGGCGAGTGAATGACAGCGATCCCAGGGAGTGGGGATACAACTATGGCAACCCTACCACCCTACTACCTTACCCCACTCCCCCTTACACCACTCCCTACAACGCTCCCAACTACACACCCTTCAGCGCTCGCTACAGCAACCCCTGGAGTGCCTACGGCAGACGTCCGGGCGTCGGGTACTGGGACGAGTACTGGCCAATGTCCTGGCGTGAGCACAACTTACCCATTAATATTTTCTCCTGTCAAGCAGCACCAGAGGATCACTGGCTGCGGCTGTACATACATTAGCTGGGGAAGATAGAGACCAGGTTGTACTCACACCGGGTCCTGTTGGTAACCTACTCACAGAAGTGGCATTCCTCGGTGCACTTCTAAATAGTATACAGACTGTACCTCTGGAGAGTCAGAAGCCTTGGAAATGTAATTTAAATTGGATTTCTTAATTTTGGAGGTAACTTTGAATATAAAACAATATAGTTTAAGTACGGTACAACATTTTCAAAATAAAACACTCCCAGGGTTTGTGAGTTTTAAAGAGGTATACCAATAGTTTTCACTGGAATGACAATGCTGAAACGCGGAGATTTCTTCCCTGTTCCAACATGTTACTCATCAAGACGATGATGTAAACACGAGGGCAGTATTAAGCTTTTCTTCAGGGTAGCTTCGTAGTTAGCCCAAGGAAACCAATTATCACTGGCGGACATGGTCGTTTGATTATGGAATATTTATGTCATTAAAACATTTGGATCAATGTAGCATGTATATACAGTACATATTTTAATTACATGTATGGAAGGTTGGTGTGACTATATTCTGCTTCTATCTCAATGCTGTACATAGCTGGATACTCATGACCGTTATAACTTTTACTGCAAAGGGTAATTTATTATTATTATTTTTGGTTCTCTCGTTACTCTATATCAGAATCAAGTAGATGTCATTATGTGCTTTATAAATAAGTATTTGTTCAAGATTATCCTAGACTTAAATCGTCGGAAGTATACAAGAAGACACTGCTAACAGCCTCCATGATTCGCAGTGTGAGAAAACCAAAATGTAAATATCAGAAATCTCTAATATTTGAGGAAAATTCAAACTCTAGCAACTAGTAATGCGGACAAGGTATCTTTATAAATTTTCTTTTTAATTTCCGCAAAAAATAAGAAGAAAAGTATATAGATAATCCTACGTGTTAAATGTTCGTACATTGTTCACTTTGATACTGTCTCAAAACTAGATGAAAATTTTTGATCTTGTAGCAAAGTAAAGGTGAAGCTCTGTCTCCTCGTGGGTATCAAGGCCAGTGACAGTTACTCTTTTAATAGGCATGTAGATCAGCCAAGGAAACAAAGTCAAACGTAAAGGATACTAGGATACCTGCTCCACGTGGTATAATGACCGACAGGGGAATCCTAGAGCAGGTAAACACATTGAGAGGCTCGTACTGGGCAACACCTTCCCCCAGTGTGTTAAGGGGACCCCTCGTGGAACTTTAGACATCTTGGTGAGGGTGTGAGAATCGACTAAGATTTGGGAAATTGGTACCTAAATATTAATTATCTTTGTAATTCTCAAGAAGACTCAATTATTATGTTTAAAATTAGATCATTTGGGCTGTAGGAGCAGAGGGTTGTTAAGTCTGAACCAGCTGTGAGGGAGTGTCAAGGCTTTCAGGACTTAGTGCCTGAGGAGTCCTGAACTAAGATTATCAAAGGATCGTGTGTTAGTTTTCTCCAAACCTGAGGCTGTGAAATGGCTTCAGTGTAACTCAGATACACAGCGACAACGATGCCGCCTAATTGGTGTTTGAATTTTCTCTAAGGCACTGTAAGTAAGTATTTTATCTTAAACCGTAGGCTAAGTTTTGGAGAATTAACATGCGATTCTTTGAGAATATTGACTCTGGACACCTGCTGATTTTTTTATCTACACAAATACTGCATAAACTCAATATGACGTATGTAGACCAGTGTAGACATCCACGACCAAACTGGTTTACACGCCTTTGAGATGTGCAGAGTTTAGGTCATGCCAGTCCCACAGCAAACGAGGAAATGCAGTAACACCTGATGTATAATATTTCATAATACTTTGTATTTATTGTAAATGGTTTAAAGGTGATGTACTGTACTGTACTCCGTGTATATATATATATATATATATATATATATATATATATATATATATATATATATATATATATATATATATATATATTTGATAGGGAAAAGGGAAACAACGGTGCTCCGTTGTTTCCCTTGTGATTTTATCAAGATTTATCTTATCCACGTTTTCATTGTGGATCTAGAAATATATATATATATATATATATAATTAATAATTTATATTTTAGAAACAGGAATAATTTTGATTACTTAACTAAGTTACCATGAACGTAAGTACTGTACTTGACAACATTGCTTACTGCATGGCTCATGTTGTGGTGTCTTATCTGAAATGTTTATATAGTGTAGTAAAATAGTAGCGTGTGACAGTGGAAAAGTACTGCGAAGAGGACTACTGATCCATAATCATTATTATTTTAAAGCGGACGACACGAACCAACCAAAACTACCCCAGAGTTTTTTTTTATCAGGTTATGGCTGGCTCGTGTCGTCTGGAGGGATAGAATGATCTAGCTTTGGTACTTTTCAATAACTGTAGGTGGTGCAGTAGACTAGACTTGTTGCAATTGGTGTGAGGAGAATGTCACCAGCGCTCACCAAGGTCCCCACGCCTCCCCATGTGTGGCATTGGTTACTTACATCACTTATCACAGAAGGATAAGTGTTGCTTTATCCTAAAACAGATGGAATGTTGTTTTCGAATTATTAAAATAGTTACGTCAATAATTCTGCCCTGCTATATAACATAAGTGATATTGTAGTGATAATTGATTCTTGAAATTCTACTGAACATTTTCTTTTTTCAAGTTACTTTTCTCAGTTAAGGATATTATAATTTTTGCTTTTGTTTTAATGAGCTATTAATAGGCACAGTGCTGGACGTGTTAGTAGTGAGGACATTGTCACTAGTGGGGTAGGTTGGGCAGGGACCAGCTACTCCCCGTATTATAATAATGTCATATGGTTCATCTGCTGCGGCGACTGACTGTATGGTATTAAGGGGAGGGAGAGTGGGTGGGTGTGGTGACATTGTCCAAAGTGTAGAGTGTAGTACTAACGCGCGTGGTGCGTGGCGCAGACAACGACCCGTGCTCGCCTAACCCGTGCTTCCCCGGCGTGGAGTGTTCGCGGGGACCTGAAGGTGCTCGCTGCGGCCCCTGTCCTAGGAACTTCGTGGGCAATGGACGTGACTGTAGGCCGGGCATCACCTGCGCCGACCGCCCCTGCGCCCGCGGTAAGTACCAGCCTTCCTACCACCATCTACAGGGTTTAAACACGCTCAGAGGCAGTCCATGATTAGGTCACTCTTAAGCTTATGATGCTCGTAAGTATGATGATGTTTACAGAGATACTAGGATGTAATTATGGCCCCTTAAAGGTCAACTTCCCCAAGTCTTATTAAATCCGTGGGTAAGATATTGTTGGATGAATTTCTATTTGGATATAATCATATCTTCTTAAACAGGGAGAGAGAGCTCTGTTCGCTACCAGGTAGGTACGTCAGTCACATCAGTAGCTAGGTCATAATCAGAACGAACCCTAAACTGACTCAGCGCTTCACCCAGTGAGGTCCACTGATAAACACTGCAGTCCTCACGCCGTTCATGACATCAGCAACACAGCACATCCTAGCTGGGCAAAGCTTAAGTGAAAAACAAGGCTGACAGCTACTACAAGTTTAGATTAAAATATTCTCAAACACCAGAATACATACAGTTCATTTCAACAAACTTCTATAGCGAGTATAAAGTCTTACCTCTCCCAGTTGCATTCTTCCAGTCTACACCCCGTCTCTCACGACCTGCACCGGCAATAATATTCCTCCTAATCTAATCTAGGTAAACATGGGCTCAACGGTGATCTGTTGTCATGACACTACTATTGACATGTTGAATATGAAAGTATGAGGGTATAAATAACAGTCTTAAGTCTTAGTACAAGAAAAATATTTCATCATACCAAGAAATCTCAATTTAACATAACACAAGGGTAGACAATGTAGAGTATATTTCACAACTTCAGGGTAAGTCTCCGTAAATTACACCAACACAAGAGACGGTAAGTCACTGCACAGAATGTACCTCGTGAGAAATGGGCAGTGTAACGTGTGTTAATTATGTACTAGTGTTTCTTTAGTATTGAATATTAAGAATTCCTCTAAACATTAAGAGTATCTCGTCTTGAATGTTCATCGAGTACTATAATTTTACTCTTGTTTCTTGAGAGGCCATTCCATATGAGGTGACAGATAGATAAATAATTATACAGTAAAATATTCATATAAGGGATAGACAAAGACTTGTAAAAAGCTTATATTCACGGTAATAAACTGAGCTGATATATTAGATTATAAAGTACTAAGACATGTGAAATAGGAATCTAAATATAACAAGATCACCTCTGGCACAGGATAAATGATTCAGTTATAATGTTTACAGTCGATGACCTGTATCCATCTTTAACACAAACAAGGAAAAAAAGATGCATTCCTTCATTTAATCTTTAAAACCACCAAGTCACTATCTTATGTATAAATTAAGGCTGCGAATCAAAATTAACTTGTCATAAAAAGGAATTCGGGAATATTTTGGATTATTCAAATCATTCAGAGACCTTCTGGTGTAAAGAGGACTAGTCTTTTAGGTACAATTTATTTAGAATAGTTTACCATAAAAGTAGTTTTCTATGGAGAGTCCAGCGTCTCGTTTTCTATGGTAAGTTTTACATGTATAACTTCAGTAATTTTACTAATCTTAATATTTCACTTTCAAGGTAAAATTTGTTTAATTGTTGATGTAAGTATTAGCGTTTAGTAAACTATTTTATATTTGAAACAATTATTAACATTTGATTAAGATAATATATCTAAAATTAAATTGTTTGTATTTGTAACATTAATCAGTGTTGGAAAAATGTCTAACTACAATATTTTCAAGTGTAAACAACATAACATAATAACAGTAGACTATCAATACATTTAAGTGCAAACAACAAGATAGGATTCAATAAATGTTACTTATTTGAGTGTAACTGAGCATGAAATATGAATACACAACACAAATAATTTATTAACATCAACGTGATTTATATTAAGTAAATGCATGAATATAGGAAATAAAATTAACACAAATATTTTCTTAATGTAACTTTTAAGGCTAATCGAGTCATTTTACACCAACTAGTACACACACACACATACTAGTTCAATTTTCTACTTTGTTCCCCTTACCCATTCCAGCCCACGTCATCATCGTGGAGAGGAAATACAACTTCTCAAAAACCTTTACAAACCCACTTCTCTTTGAACCGAATATTGGCTACCAGTACACCCACCTCCCCACACTACCTGTATAGGCTCTCTTGTCAACGTTATCTACCCCAGACTGACTTCTTAACCCACTCGTTATTTTTAGTTCCGGATTTTCTGAGATTCAAAGTTAAATTTTCACAAGAACGTATTTAACTGTCCCATTTTGAGATATAAAGGGAAATATGATGCTGAAATTAAGTTTAATATCTAATATAAAATAATTGCGTTCTCTCATCTCACTTAAGAAAATATATCAAATGACGAAAAACCACTGCTATGAATCTTTGAGAATCCGGACGCTGACTGACTCGAAACATTTCAAAGATTTTATTTTTTCAGCGGATCGTTCGAGTTGTGTTTGTGCTCATGTCTAAAAACTTCAGTATATAGATATTTTTTCCCTTTATTCCTCCCATGCATCATCAGGGGAAAATGCTTATTTGGATGTACGAGTTGCTTCATGCATTGCAATTCTGACATCGACTATCTCTGACACTATTATCAACACTGGCTTGATGTTATAGTGACGAAATTCGCATAAACCTTCAATATTTTTGCCCATCTCAAAAGTGGTAAGATCTTAGAGCCTTAAAGAATCCCAGACTCAAATTAGCCCACCATGGAGGTAACCTAATCTCTGTTACCACTTCAGACAATACTCATATCCAGACAACATGGAGTGTATTACTGTGGCATTATTCTTCCCATAGTACTTTAAACCTTCACTCTTATGGCGTATTAGAAGGCCACTTAGTCTCTCCCAGAAAACCAGAATTACTTAGGTCTCAATACAAACAGACTATTTGGTAAACATTTATTTCGGACTGAGGTGATATTAATTTTATCCTCTTCATCACTGATCGGTTCGTTAGCCGCTTGGGCGATCGGTCATGTCTGTGATTACTTTTCCTGTTCTTTTATCTATTATCAGACTGACGAAACAGACTGTTGTGAAAAAGTCGAGGAATAAGAATCAGTAATAACTTTGCCTTTCGACTGACGTACAATGCTGCTGAGATTTATATACTGTATGCTTGAATGAGTTCTCTTTGCACTGTTCATTGTCTTTTCTCCTCAGCATGGCGGTCGTCTTAGCTACTCCACTAAGCTAGGACAGAATGACGACATGAAATCTCAACGTAAAGAACATTATTCTCTTATTATTATTGTCATATGCCTCATTGTGTGTTTACGCTTGAACTCTAGGGAACGTGAGCCATCAGACAGGTGGTTGTATATCGCTCTCATTGGCTCCTTCGTCTACTGACAATAGCCACTTAAGGATGGATCTCTGTTCTGCCGCGTTCTCCAGAAATCTGAAAACCAACTAAACAAGCTACGTAAAGCAGGACCTCAGTATTCATGTTTTTTTAGCACAAACTCCTAACTTGTGGAAAAATGAAGCCCGATAAACTTTAAATTAGAAAATAATAAGAGTACAGTATCTTTGAAACATAACTATTGAGATTTATAAAGGGTCCTTTGTTTTTTTTAGTTGTCGTTTAGATTGTTTTCGGATTTCAGGAATAATTCGTATTCTGCAGTTTTGACAATTATTTATCTTCAAGATCATTATTTCTATAGATCTTTATGAACCTTTACTATTAAGTATGTATTGACCTTCTCAATATCCTCTTTTATCATATACATGACTTACAAAGCATGAAGTTCTTCCCTGTGCTTTCCTGTGAACCACTCTAGCTCCAAGTGACCGACAAACTGCCAACATTTTCCATGTCAAATATATGATCCTCAGCTAAACCTTGAGGTCCACTCCCCGTCATGAAAAAGTCTTACAGTACCAAACCTTCCCCAACACACTCTCCGGATCCCCCTGTAGGCGTGCGTTGCTACGACATGCTCAACGGGTACCGGTGTGGGCCATGTCCCCCCGGCCAGACTGGTGACGGCCAGAACTGCAACCCCATCAGCGCGTGTGACCCCAACCCCTGCTTCCCCGGTGTGCAGTGCTCTAACACCAACACCGACCCATACTACCGCTGTGGCCCCTGTCCTCCTGGCCTTACTGGCAACGGCGCCACCTGTGATGACATGAATGAGGTCAGTGCGTTGCTACTGTCACCCCAGATTTTCAAAGATATTACCGTATAGTCGTATAGTTATTTCTCCTAGCTAGGGATGGGACAGTATTTAACTCAACTCACGATACTCAAATGATCCCCAAATAGCAATTATATTTTACGATAACTAAGCGAACTGTCACCCTTACAAGGAGAACATAACTTACTACTATTTGAGAATCTGGGACCTGGCTGTTACTGTCGCCTTAACGTAGCCAAAATACTATCTAGAAATACCTTGTCTTATACCTGCTGAATCATCACCAGTTAAATGAACTTACACTAGCAGGAATGTTAAGAGAAAATGTGTAGTATTTTATTGTGTAAGTTATGCAGTACTGAGTGGTAGAGTAGTATCATCAAGGAAAGAATATACTGTAGTCCATAATTTAATAGTAATGAGACATCAAAGTAAATAGATTTTGCCTTAAAAATACCAGATGTCAGGAACTCCTGTTATCTGTTACAAAAACATTCCTCTAACATGTACTTCCTGATGCAGTGTGACCTGGCCAAGCCTTGTGACCCCCACGTGAGGTGCATCAACATGTCGCCAGGGTTCAGGTGTGACCAGTGCCCGCCAGGGTTCACAGGGTCACCCGGTCTTCAGGGTATAGGTCTCCAGTTCGCCCGCCAGAACCGTCAGCGGTGTTACGACTTAAACGAGTGTGACGATGGCAACAACGGCGGCTGTGTCGACAACTCCGAGTGTATTAACACCGAGGTTAGTGACACGCACCACAACACTCGCCTACCCGGGCTTCCCACACACCACATGAAACACGGGTTCGACCCCCCCCCCGTCCCTCCCTCCTCCTCTAAATAAGGAAATGTAGACAATAAGATCAATACATATACAGTATAGTATTTAATTTCAGTGAGTGATATGAATTTTCTTGATTTACAATTATCAAACACAATCCTCCTCCAGGCTGTAGAGAGATGAACACGTCAATCCAAAATTATTGTACCAAGTCAGAAAACAAAGATTAAATTTACTCTAAAATTACTTGTTTATTGCCTTTGATATTACTTAATGTCCAATCAATGATATTTAAAGGTTTCCGTCAAACTTGAAGAATAGGTCGGCGTGTTATGTCAACCTAATAACAAAATAAATCTCAGTTCAAATTGACTTATCGTAGCTTATCATAAAAGAGTTTGGAATACATTTCATTTTGTTGACTGTAATTAAGAGTGGTGGAATGTGTCGCCTTGTTGTATTTCATTTATCATTGTATTATCTGTATTACTCTATAAACTGTGCCCTTTCATTCACTGTATCACTGCACCACTGTACCCTTCATTTATCTTCCCACTGTACCCTTCAATCACCGTGCCAATGCTCCACTGTACCCTTCAATCACCGTACCTCTGCTCCAGGGGTCGTACTACTGTGGAAACTGTCGGGCCGGGTTCATTGGTAACCAGACGAGAGGATGCAACAGCCGCCCTGGTCTCTGTCCCGACGGTCAGCAGTGTGATAAGAACGCCGACTGTGTTAAACCCTTCGGCCTGAATCACTATATATGTAAGGTAAGTGTTGGTGGAATGATTTATTATTATTATTATTATTATTATTATTATTATTATTATTATTATTATTATTATTGTTGTTGTATTGCCATTAATGATATTTGACTCTTATTACAGTGTCGTGTAGGATGGGCTGGGGATGGCATGACGTGTGGACCAGATCATGACCTGGATGGGTGGCCAGATTATGACCTGGGATGTAGTGACCCTCGGTGCCGCCAAGACAGCTGCGTCGACACACCCAACTCTGGCCAAGAAGACTCTGATAACGACAACATCGGTGACGCCTGTGACGAGGACGCTGACAACGACGGGATCCTCAACAGTCCTGTGAGTATAGTCCTGCGTCTGACGGTGGAGGTCTCTCTGTTATCCTTACAACTTTAAACTAGTCAACATTAATTTATCTTATATCCAGCCAGTTTCAATGGCCTTTTTTACCCCAGAGAGAAGCAGAACTGTGTGTTAGGTTAGTGCCCCTTTCTCTCCACCTCACGTGCTTCCCTCCCTCTCACCCCAACAGGACAACTGCCCCCTCGTGGCCAACCCTGACCAGTTCGACACTGACCCTGAAGGTGCCGACAAGCAGGGCGACGCGTGCGACAACTGCCCCACCATCCCCAACCTCGATCAGGAGGATAACGATAAGGACGGCATCGGCGACGCTTGTGACCCTGATATTGACAACGACAGTGAGTCTCATAATCCTGATACCATTAAGGTGTTTATTTAATCCTCAGGTGAAATAATCTGTCGTACCTAATCTCCACATGACCCCGAAACTGATCTTATTTTTTTGTGAATATTAAAAGAAAATTGACCTATGTCTCTCTCACTACAGACGTCCCTAACCGCCTGGACAACTGCCCACGGACACCCAACACTGATCAGTTGGATACAGACCGTGATGGTTTGGGTGATGCTTGTGACAATTGCCCAGAGGTACGTAACCCCTACCAAGAGGATATCGACAAGGATTTGGTGGGCGATGTTTGCGATAACAACGACGACCCCGACAGGTGAGGGAACGTCCAGCCGTCTGTGTTGTTAAGTAGCGAACGTTCATGCCGGAGTGAATCTGTGAGTGGCTACTGAAGCAGGGGTGGATCTCAAGTACTTTACAGATGTTTCCTATTAAGAATCCGATTTTCAGGTATTATAATCACCTTACAGATTAGATTAGAAAGGTACTAGTGGATGAACGATGGTGATTTTAAGCCTTGAACCTTTCTGATGACACATTCTATCCTTGTCCTCTTCTCCTCCACAGGGACGGTATTCAGAACAACATGGACAACTGCCCGGATGTCCCCAACAGTGATCAACACGACGCAGACGACGACGGCAGAGGTGACGAGTGCGACCCAGACGCCGACAATGACGGCATCCCCAACAACAGCGACAACTGCCCGCTCGTGTACAACCCCGACCAGCGCGACTCTAACAGCAATGGTGTGGGAGACGCCTGTGAGGGTGACAGGGACGCCGACAAAGTCATCGACTTTGAAGACAACTGTCCTAACAACTCCAAGATCTACGCTACCGACTTCAGGTGAGAGAGAGAGAGAGAGAGAGAGAGATTAGAATATACTTCACTTGTTCTCCATCGCAACGTAAGTCTCACGACTATAGCGGTGTACTGTACAAAGCATGTCTCCTGACACACCTCTCCCTCCTCACCCCAGATGAACTAAGTGTAACAACATGTCTCTACCTTCCTCAGGACCTACCAGACAGTGGTGCTGGATCCAGAGGGCGACTCACAGATAGATCCCAACTGGGTCATCTACAACAAGGGAGCCGAGATCGTCCAGACCATGAACTCCGACCCTGGCCTGGCTGTTGGTGAGTAGACTAACTGTTTGGTTAATGAGTAGTTCCTCTAGCTGTTAAGGAGTAATTATTCACGATTCCGGCACTCTCTACTGGTGAATAGTTCCTCACAACGTCACAACAAAAACAACTTAGCATCAGCATTTACCGAATACGCTGGTAGAACTAAACTTTATTATCACCTTATTACCTTATTTAAATCATTAGTGTTAGGTCAGAGGTTGAATGTTGCGACTTACCAACTCTCTCTGTGTCCAGGGTACCACAGGTTCGGCGGCGTGGACTTCGAGGGCACCTTCTTTGTTGACACTGATATCGACGATGACTACGTCGGCTTTATATTCAGGTAGGTGTCTCACTGTGATCCCTGGTCTTTATATGAAACGTTAGGAATTATACCTCACCACTTTGTAAAACAACCGTACACTCTCTCCATTTTCTTTAACAAAACTCGTTATATTTTACCATCAAACCAGTGTTCATTATACTCTGACATAAGTATAAATATTCCTCAACAATAAGAGAGCTAAGCTTCAGAAATTACATTCCTAATAACAAACAGTAAGTTTTATACCACGAATCTACAGGAACAGTCTTCGTGAATATTTACGTTTTTATCAGCTACCAAGACAACGCCAACCTCTAAGCATACTCTCTCATCAACAGTTACCAGGACAACGCTAACTTCTACACGGTCATGTGGAAGAAGAATACGCAGACTTACTGGCAGGCGACGCCCTTCCGTGCAGTGGCCGAGCCTGGCATACAACTCAAATTGGTCGAGTCGTCCACCGGCCCTGGCCAGATGATGAGGAACTCCCTCTGGCATACTGGAGATACTGAGGACCAGGTGAGTGTTGGGGGGAGAAGAGGGGGGGGGGGTCTGATACATACATTCAGTACATCCTAGCTACCGATGACCAGCTGGATGGATGCACAGGGATCATGGCCTTGACGTGTGTGTTCACTGTATCATTTACCGTCAGGTCAAACTGCTGTGGAAGGACCCTCGCAACGTAGGCTGGAAGGAGAAGACTGCTTATCGCTGGCTGCTGCTTCACCGTCCCAAGATCGGCCTCATCCGTCTGCGTATCTTCGAGGGTGAGAACATGGTGGCGGACTCTGGCAACATCTTCGACAACCGGCTGAAGGGTGGCCGGCTTGGAGTCTTCTGCTTCTCCCAGGAAATGATCATCTGGTCTGATCTGGTCTATCGTTGTAACGGTAAGTACTATATCATGGGCTGGAGATAAGGCGGAAGTTTTCGATAAATGTCATAAATGTTTTTAAGTTGATATTTAGGCCAAATTCCATTATTGTATTCCTTCTGATCTGTGGCTGAGACCAGGATGTATATTGTTTACACCGGTAGTATTAGTTGTGTTAAGTGTCTTGCTAGCCACCACCAGACACAGTCATCAGGTTATGGATCCCTCAGCACCCTCCTCGTTACTGATCAATGTTTACCTCCCCAGATCAAGTACCAGAGGCCATCTACAACCAGTTGCCGCCAGACCTCCAACGCCTTGTGGATATCGACGTCAGTAGACCTGTCCCCAACGGCTTATAGATCATCAGCTCAGGGGACTTAGGACAGGCTCTTGTCGGCCACCTGTGTACTGTACAGGAGCCCATTAACTAAATCTACTTAGGGGACGGGGTGTATTTAATGGATAATGTATTGACTTTGAAAACACAGTGTTATCTTAGGGGAAAACTCTTGTGCTGGTATTCAATTTATGGGTCTGATGTGACAGGTACAGTCCAGCTGATTGCAGTTGGTTCTTGCCTACGGAGATAAATACCTCTGAGGGAAATGGCTGATGTTTACCACTCAATGTCTTCATAATCTAATACATTTATACGGATATTAAACTATAACCAATGCCTTAAGGAACAGCCTCAGTAAAGTTACCTTGCACTAGACTGTCTGACGGACGCGCCTCTGAGTTTTGTTCTGCTGACGAATGGGAAAGTTTAGTCCTCTGATGTGAAAACTTCCTTGACTGATTGATGAGGAGATTCAGCTGGGAGGGACAATGGTTCAGTAGTATATTTAATTACTCTGACTCCTTATTTAGAGCTGCTTGTGTAAAAGTTTATTGGTTGTCGAGTAATCACTTTCAAGAAACCCGGAAATATAGTGTAGGAGATATTGTTCCGAGAAGGATGCTAACATCTCTAGAATTTACTGCGCAGGAAATAAATACCGTATTGTTAAGAAAAACTTATGAAATTAATTTGTAAGAGAAGAATTAAAAGTATAAGTGAAGAATCCAAAGACCCGTTAACATAGATGTAAGTTAGTATGTGTGTACATTTTCGAAGCTAGGGATCACCTGTGTACATAGCTTGAGGTGACAGTTGTAGCATTATTAACGGTGAGAATAACCCAGCGAGTTGTTGTCATTACAATTACCAGTGCTTTGTAGACAATAGGTTGGCCTGCCACTCACATACGATTTGTATTTTGAGGTGAGGGTTAACGCTTCACAGTCTATTAAAATTTTGGGGTTAAGTTTGATCCCAGAATATATAATAATCTATAACTTAATTTGATGTTCTTTATTCTTCACTTAAACTAGATCACAGGATATAGATCTAATTTTTATTATAGCTTTGCACTTTATGCTAGGCGATGGACGATAGGCCCATGCTTGTAACATCAAAAATAAACACATAAAAGGAAAATAATTAATGGATAATGTTCAACTACAATATTAAAATTTATATCATAATTAGATAAACCTCGAGAGGGTGGTGAATTATTCTCTAGACACTGCCTGCAGCCTAGTAGTGAACTGTAAACATCGCGGTTAATGTCATCACCCGAAAACAAGAATAACGTTAAGAAGGGAATTAATGTCTCTGACTGTCTAAGAATATGAAATTTATATGTTCTTTATTATATTCTACTTCGTTTATTCATCAATCTAAAAAGCAGTTGTTTAGTTGTATTATGATATTTAATTAGTGACATTTTCTGTGCACGTTTTACATGAACTGTGTAATGGGAGGATGGTTGAATACAGGTTTGCAGTGATGGAAGACTAAACCATTTTTATTAGACAGAATAAAAAGATGTAACTTTCTTAATGTTTACCAGTTGTTGTTTATCGTATGAATTAACTTGTGTACATGTTTAAAGACCTTAGTTGTTGAAGCACAGATATATATATATATATATATATATATATATATATATATATATATATATATATATATATATATATATATATATACAACAACAACAGCAAGTTTGTTATTAATATATATAGATGAATGTGTTGAAGGAATTGTGTGTATCACTGCCACGGTGGGTCACTTAATACACAGAGAGGATGGGAAATTATTTCTCGGATTGGCTCGTGTTTGCTCGGTATTATCTAAACGCCGAGGAGTGGTAAAAACAGCCCGAAAACGTTTAGAGTGGAGAACTGTGGTCGCCAACCCTCGGGAATGACGATAGTACTTTTAATTGATTGTCAGAACCCAAGTAATTGTCTATGTGTCTGTTCATCTGTCTGTCTGATTCTCCTTAAATAAAAATAGGTACGTATCCCTTGCAGCCGCCCATTATATCTGAACCTCCATGGTCAGTAGATGCAGAAAAGCCTGATGTACAATATTCCATGACCTGTGGGACACTCACCAGATATTAACACAGTTCACTATGTTCCCAACCTCTCCTGTTACATCTTTATTAGCTGTTACTTAAAGATCTCCCGCCATTGTTTTTCTGTTTTATACGAAACTGTTGCTTGGTCTCTTCCTGGTTCACCTTGCCGTTGTGTACTACCTGCTGCATAATAACTTATTACTGTAGTTTAAATTCTTAGACTACAGGCGTTAGCTTTAGTACGTGTAGTTAGATGTGATTTTGAGGTTATAGTTGAAATTCATTACTATGTTGCGGTGTTTGACTCTCATGACGGCGACGTGACCACCTCGCCTTCATGATGTCCGTTTGTTCGTCTAAGAATTGTTTGTTGACTTATCAACTAAGGTAATTTAATGGTTGTTTAATTAAATAATCCATGTATAAAGTCCGTGTTATTCACGAAAATCTATGTAATATGTGAAAACTATAGACAGTCTTCTGTTTCATCACGAGCAGGGCCGGATTCAGGAGTGGGCTAAGTGGGCAGCTGCCCAGGGGCCTCCACAATCTGGGGGCCTCCACATATAACAATATGTTCTAATTTCCTCAATATAACTGCATATGGCTTCAAAATTCTCCAAAGAAGTGTTCAAATTTCAAAATTTTCCCGGGGGGCTTACAGCGCCCCCCGGAACTCCTAGACGTTTAGGCTCGCTTCACTCGCCACCCCACCACAGGTCTAAATCCGGCACTGATCGCGAGATATTTGTTTAACCAATCAGGAAGATCTCATCTGTCCTCCTCATACGTGACGTCACACTAGACTGTCGGTTTTAATTCTCGTATGTTTGTTAATATATACAAAAATGTCTTAGATTGTTAATACTTATAATATTGAGTTTTATAATCTGTTAACTAATATAGCAACCCAGAAAAAACATAGTTTTAGGATATATTTACATTGTATCATCTAATTTAACTATTAGTTCATTTAAGATTGTTAACCATTTCTTCAAACAATCGACATTGCTCTCGGTATAAATGATTCCTCAGCTAACAGTCAGTATAGTGTAAATTCAGCATCATCTTATTATATTAAATAAATTTATAAAAATCTCTGTGGTATTTTCATAACCTTTCCCTGTACTCGGATATCAACTTGTGTTCGTTGACAGCGTAACAGTCGCCCTCCTGTGATATACTGTGCATTCTGTTGTGTTGTGGTAATTAAATTTTAAGCGAGATAAGCTGGGGGGCTCAATCTTTAGGTGAGTACCGAGGTCCACCATCACATGAAGATTAGGCACCCTATAGTCATCGGGGTGGGTAAATTATACGTGGGTTCGGCCATAACACCCATAAAATCTGATGTGGAATAATAAGTGGAACGTACTGAAAGGTAAACAACTTTCTCCTTCTCTAATTCTTCAACTTTTACACTTTTCTCTCTTTCTCAATAACCTTTATTCAGCCTACTCTATTTTTACACATTCAAAAAGGGGCAAGTGAGAGAGAAAGAGAGAAAACATTACCACGTTCTCTATAATTACTTAAGCTCACATTGCAACAGACATACAAGGTCACATTACAGGATGTATTGAAGACGTCCTACGAAGATCACAAATTAGATGTCAATACCAAGTAAAATATTGACATAACCGATGAGCTGTATAGTTGTGTTGGTGGAGTACTGGTGTTGTAGGAGCTAGCCGAGTGTCCGCTCATAAATTAATACTGATTAGGCTACAAAACTAGAAGTTGTCGCGCCCACAAACTTGATATTTTTTTTTTTTTTAGAAACTAGTTGTTACTTAACATATATACTGGTTTATGATTGGTTAACGCTACTGACATGAGGATCCTTGCTTCCTTTAGCCAATCAGGGTCGGAGTATTCTGGGGCGTGGATAAACCCTAACGTTTGATTGGCCCTCAGAAGAGCTATGATATTTGTTGCCAGGAATCCTAAATATAGAGAGGAAAATCACCTTAAACACAACAGCGAATAAGTGAGAGATTGAACTGACCCCTATGGACTTAACCAAGCTAAGGGACCAGCTTAAAGATTAGAATAATGAGATCCTTCAGCTGCCTTGTAAGGAGAGAACCTGCCCCCGGCGAAGCTTCATGTAGTGGACCCCAGTCTCTCACCACCAGTTACGTGGGCGTCCTCACTGCTGACGGGTCCACTCGCTCCCCCAACAATAATCTCAAATATCACTCTTTCTCTTGCCTTAGTTGGGGCTCAGTACGCTTTTAATATCGCCATTTTCGCATGAGAAACATTCCCAAACAATTGACATCTTAAACAACATCAAGTCTTGTGTGTCAGGTTAATCCACGAGGTTTGGCTTTGACGGTCACGCCCTTCGCCCTGTGATTCCCTCCTCCACCATGACCACTGTAACATTGACCTCCGCGAGTCCCTCCCCCGCAGCGGTGAGGGTGAGCACCGTACGAACCACGCTGACCTTAGCTGACCTATGTAGTGGGCTACCCGTGAACCCACTGCCTCCCCCTCTCCCCCGTGACAACACCATCGCTCACGCCCCCATCAGGACCCACAACCTCAACCATGAACAACAGCAGGTGAGTCACTCTGGGTTAGACAGGTAGAACGAGAGAGGTAGACAGATAGTAAAGAATAGGAGTGATACAGACAGGAAACAAACAATAAGTGGATAATAATTTAAGGAAGAACCAAAAACAGTAAACAAACAAATGAAGAAAAATGGACAAACGAGAAGGAATGAGATCGAACACAAGAATAACAATAGATACCAAGAGAGACACGGTAGGCGTAAACAGGTAGGTAAATGTCAGGGGTCAGAGAGAACAAGTAGAGTGGTAAACATTCTACTACCTGATACCTAACATTCTTTGCTCCGGTTTTCAGTTTGATTAGGTTAAGTTAATTAGTTTAAGTTATTGTAGGTTGTCATACTGTTAAGTAATTTTGAAAGATATACAAGTAATATTTGCTTTTAAACCAGTTATTTTTTGCACCTTGTTCTGACTAGTGCATTCATTGTTTATATATGTCAATGGGAACCAGTTTCAGTGACAACTCTGTGAAGATTAGCCATCCTAGCTTAATTCACTTAATGGATTATGGTTAAGTAAGCATTTGGGTTAGTTTATCTCAAAGTGAAAAAAGCTAGAGTGCTAATTTCCGTGATCCGTGATATCACATGGAACCAGAATTATTTATGCATGACTGTTCAAGCTGGCAGGCCGATGTGTTCATAATACAATACATAGCGCTGATAAATAAACCAAAATGACTATCGCACACAAACACGTGTCTGAAATTGTTGTTGTCACCCAGCTGGACACTTGGGGGCGCCCGGTGCCCTTGAATATTTACGTCTTAGACTCGATGTCCTTGAAGAAAGTCGCCCTTAGATTCAATTAATGTAGCTTCACGCTCTCACTGCATTGTATCCCTCAAAATTGTTAGAGTTCTTTCCTCCTCACACAGTGCGTTTGTGTGTGTGTGTGTGTGTGTGTGTGTGTATTAGTGTGTAAGTGCATGTGTGTGTATCAGTGTGCGTATGTGTGATTATCTTCATGTGATCCGACTTCAGGAATTCATGTAACCATCATATTTTTTACTCATGCTTCATCTTCCTGTAATGCCTTCAGATGTGTTGCCATAATTCTTTCTACGTAATCTTTCACCATTCATCTACATGACTGACGTCTCTCTCACTACAGTTGGCTGTGAGTAACGCCCTGAGGTACTTCCCCCGGGAGTATCACGGGGTGTTGGCGCCGGAGTTCGCCCAGGAGCTGCGACAGTATGGCCATATCTACATGTACCGCTTCTACCCAAACATACAGATGAGGTAAGAGTTTGGCGGGGTTTTAAATTAACAGGATGAATAAATAAAGGTATAAAAAAATGTAATGAATTTATAAGTGTATAAGGAAGTATATAAATGTATAGATATATAAAAACAATAAAATAAAGGAGGTATTGTTAATAATCCTCTCCCTCCTGACACACCTCTCCCTCCTCTCCCTCCTCCCACACCTCTCCCTCCTCCCACACCTCTCCCTCCTGACACACCTCTCCCTCCTGACACACCTCTCCCTCCTCACACACCTCTCCCTCCTCCCCCTCCCTCTCCCTCCTCTCCTCCTCCCCACTTCTCCCTCCTCTCCTCCCCAGCCCCTCTCCTCCTGGCCACCTCTCCTCCTCCCCACCTCTCCCCTCTGACCCTCTCCTTCTCTCCCCACCTCTCCTCTGACACCTCTCCCTCCACCCTCTCCCTCCTCCCACACTTCTCCCTCCTCTCCCTCCTGACACACCTCTCCCTCCTGACACACCTCTCCCTCCTCCCACACCTCTCCCTCCTGACATACCTCTCCTTCCTCTCCCACCTCTCCCTCCTGACACACCTCTCCCTCCTCACACACCTCACCCTCCAGAATAAACCCATAACACCAAAAACGCACCTCGGAAACCCATAGGGTGGCAATAATTAGCATTGAGATATGTCATTAAAATCTTCCAAATGTCATTACTACCACTAGTTACTTCGCAATCCAATCGTGGATCATAGATACGTTATCAGCTTGGTCAGGAGTTGTACTGTTCAGAGATTTTTAACAAAATCTAATTGTAAGCTGAAAAATTAATACGGCTCAAATCTCAGTACAGTATTGGTATTCCTCGATGTACAGAATAAGGATGTAGTAAAAAAAAGTTGAAATTTTGATACTTAATTGTCCTAATTAATCTGTTAAGCACTGTTGGCAAGTACTGGGCATGCACTGGCTCCTGAATTTAGCCGAACCTGGTCAAGTCTGGCCTTGAAACAGCTCACACTCGATGCCATCACAACACTCTCTGGCAGATTGTTCCAAGAGTTCACAATTCTCACCCCGAAAAAGTTTGCCCTCACAGTTTTCTGGAATTGTGGTTTCTTTAACCTGGAGCTGTGACCCCTTGTGGGGTGGGTGTCTGCCAGCTCCAGGTATGTACACTCGACTGAGTAGTGCCCTATGAGATGTTTATACACTTCAATTAGGTCCCCCTTGCTCATCTGTAGCGTAAGACAGGCAGTTGCAGGCATTTACTCTCTCTGGGTGCTGTAGTGCGGACACCAGTCCGGTGGCCTTCTTTTGGACATTTTCAATCAACTGACAGTCTCTAGCATATCTCAGGGACCAGACAATACTCCAGAAGGGGGAAGCACTTCACTATCTGAAGATGGTTACGAGGGGGCGGACCATCTAGAGATCTGAATGGCCTTCTTATAAGACCTACTAGTTTAGTTGGTTGAGTCACCTTCTTCTCACAATGGCCCAAGACTTCAGTTCATTGTAAACATACACATTATCTTAAGAATGGTTGTTCTATATCCACCAATTTTCAATAATATATTTTATTACGATTTGATTATTTTTTTCGTGTGTGTGTTTACATCATGGTTCATAGAAGTAACAATTACTTCTCCTACACTATATTTATATATCATAATCTGAGTTGCCTACAAGCATCCCTGGCCAACACCCAGCCATAAGTCTAGCCTGCACCTTAAGCTCAACCTGTACACATTATCTGCAGAGCATACCCGGTGGATGAGTACCCAGTTAAGACCAAGAAGGCAGCAGCCATCATGCACATGATAATGAACAACTTGGACCCTCGCGTCGCTCAATTCCCCCAGGAGTTGGTCACCTATGGTGGAAATGGACAGGTCTTCTCCAACTGGGCCCAGGTAACTGCATGTGTATACAGTACAGTACTGTACAGTGAAGGTGTATACATGGTGAGGCTGTATACAGATGATGGTATGCATAAGGCCATGAATACAGGATAAACTAATCTACTTATTTTTAGTTCTTGATGAAGGAGACAAGAACTTAATGAAAGATCTGTCTAGTTGTACAATCTTATTCTTCCCACTCAATTCCCTAATTGTAATCCCTTTAAAAATTTGTAGTTCCACTCTTGACTTACGCTCTGAATAACTACCATCGCCTTCTGCACAATATCACACTGACAACCCTCTCTAGGATACTAAAAATATAAAATAATAAAATTCCCCTACCTTATAACAATTCCATAATACCAAACCCAAGGCTAAGTTTGAGTAATCACAACTATAAACAATTAATACCCCCAAAAATCAACTGAACTTTTAACCTTCAATGATATAACCTTTAAAAACCTCTTAACCCATCAATACATGTTTATTATTATTTACCCGGTATATCATATAAAAATCCGGTTACATTGTTAAAGTTTCTGTAAGACAAAAAATCTCTTTACAGAATCTATCAAAAAGAAAACAAATACAAACATGAAAAGATCTGATGATAATGACTGATAATAAGATAATGAATTAGATTATTAAACGAAGATTGACAATCACTCTCATTAATTCTAGTGATCTTCTTTGTTGTGTTCATAGTTGTGGCTGGTGATGCACTACCTGTCAGTGATGACGGATGATCAGACTCTGGTGCTGTATTCTGGCCACCCGCTGGGGCTCTTCCCCTCCGACTCCCGCTCTCCCAGACTCATCATAACTAATGGCATGGTCATCCCGAATTACTCCTCCAAAGCCAACTATGACGATATGTTTGCCATGGGGGTCACATTGTAAGTCTCGATATAATTTTATGGGAGTCTTAATATAAATTTATAGGGTCTCAATATACAGCCTTTTCTCGATTTGACGAACTAATTCGAGCCACCCCTTTCCATTAAATTAAAATTTCCTCAGAATTTCCGTTATTTTCGCTTAATTTAGAGAACTAGTTCACTAAAACGATCGTGGTTCTGTTAAATTTCGCATCAAATGCACCACTTGGCACATGGGTTTGTTTACGTACATCTGCTCAGGCTGTATGCCGCCACTGCTTGTGTGGTTCACTGCTACCTCTCGGTCAACTAACTACTGTGCTTAGACATCATGCTGAAAGTCTCTCAGAAGTCTCAGAAAAAAAGTGGTGTGGGGGAGAAAGTCAAAAGATTGCGGCTATCAATTGTAACAAAGTTTGGAAATAATAGAAAATATTTAAAAGACAAACACCGAACCCCCTCGTTTAAGGTAAGCCATGAATAATGTTTCTACTGGTTCTGTGTACAGTACATATCATGTCTCTGTAGGTGTGAGTGTATTAACATAATTGATCTCGATTTAGTGAACTAGTTCACTAAAATGAGTAAAAAATAACAGAAAAAATTCCTTTCGCTAAATTGAGAGTTCGTTATATCAGATTCCGTTAAATCCAGAGTATGCTGTACGTTTTTGGGGTCAAAATATAAATTTATGGGGTCCCAACATTTATTTGCTATGGATAACTGTATGTGAGAAAGAAAATGAGTTTAGGCATGACAAAGTGGATTACGTATATGGGTAAAATGCCAGAATAAGTCTTATTACTCTCACTAGTGCCTCACCCGACTGATGCAAGTTATAGTGTACAACTAAACTGTAGTGTATTTGATCTGGTTATTGACTCCCGTATGACTAAATTTATTATTAATACTGTACTGTTTTATTTCTTGTTAGTTTCATGAAAATTACTGTATGTCTGGGATCATCTCTTTCATGTAAAATAATCTCAATTAACCATAGGTATTGTACAAAAATTATTTTATCTATTGATTAACTTAACAGCACATAATTAATCATAAATTCCTGCCTTGTTGCAAGTTGTTATAATTATCTCCATGTAACTTTCCTTACATATGGTATATGTTGTCGCTGCAGGTATGGCCAAATGACTGCAGGCAGCTACTGCTACATAGGACCCCAGGGAATCGTCCATGGCACAACGGTAAGTTGCTCTTATAACGAATCATTTCTTTACCTGCCATAGTCCCTTAACCCTTTCACAGCAGGAGGTTACCCTATGCTGAATAAAATCGTCTGGCGGTAGCCAGACTAAAATGGCAAGTGTGTGTGAAACGCAGCGAAATGGTTAAAGCATTAAATACTTTGAGAGTGATGTAGTGCATGTCAAACTCTTTGTGGTAATTCTGTTTCTGTGTAAACACAAAACAAAACTAAAATTCATAGATTTTTCCCACCATACTGTAGTATAATTTCATCTGTGAACAATTACTGAATCATCATGTTAGTAATACTGTATATTAATTAAATACTGAGCAATGTGCAGTATAAAAGTAAGGTTAAATAAGTTTACGGAACATAAAATGATTACCAGGACCTAAACACATTTTGCAGTGATTCACTTTTCCTGCCAGCGTCTACTTTCACTTCCACACACCTTTCTTCACCTCGTGCACCCATCTCTCTCCCCATACACTTCCTCCCCCTTAGTTCAGTTTCAAGTGCTGGACTCTTACACAAGTACTGTAGACATTTCCCATTTTCTATGATACAAAATTCCCGTATTCTATTATAATCTACGCAAAATTAGGTAATATTTCCCTAAAAGTCGATAATCTACTTCCTCAAAATATAATTTTCTCTCGGAATTGGAATTTGAGGGGATTAACCAATTAATTACTTCCAAAAGAACACACAAACACCAAAATATAGTTGGCTAGTAATTAGCATTGAAAAAGTCATAAGAATTTAAAAAGTCCTAAAAATACTCCAATCCTCATTAGGGCCAATAATTACCCCCCAATCGAAACGAGGATCACAGATTTGCAATCAGCATTCTCAGTAGTACATATACTGAAATTTTCAGCAAAATCAAATTTTTGGCCAAAAACATAAGTCTATTACCTTAGTAAATTTTTGACCAAAATAGACTTTTCTCTCGGAATTGGAATTTGAGGGGTTTAACCAATTAATTACTTCCAGAAGAACACACAAACACCAAAATTTCACCTGGAAAACCCATAGTTGGCTAGTAATTAGCATTGAAAAAGTCATAAGAATTGAAAAAGTCCTAAAATACTCCAAGCCTCATTAGAGCCACTAATTACCCATCAATCGAAACGAGGATCACAGATTTGCAAGCAGCATTCTCAGTAGTACATATACTGAAATTTTCAGCAAATTCAAATTTTTGGCCAAAAACATAAGTAAATTTTTGACCAAAATAGACTTTTCTCTCGGAATTGGAATTTGAGGGGTTTAACCAATTAATTACTTCCAGAAGAACACACAAACACCAAAATCTCACTTGGAAAACCCATAGTTGGCTAGTAATTAGCATTGAAAAAGTCATAAGAATTTAAAAAGTCCTAAAAATACTCCAAGCCTCATTAGAGCCACTGATTACCCATCAATCGAAACGAGGATCACAGATTTGCAAGCAGCATTCTCAGTAGTACATATACTGACATTTTCAGCAAAATCAAATTTTTGGCCAAAAACATGTCTATTTACCTTAGTAAATTTTTGACCAAAATAGACTTTTCTCTCGGAATTGTAATTTGAGGGGTTTAACCAATTAATTACTTCCAGAAGAACACAAAAACACCAAAATTTCACCTGGGAAACCCATAGTTGGCTAGTAATTAGCATTGAAAAAGTCATAAGAATTTAAAAAGTCCTAAAAATACTCCAAGCCTCATTAGAGCCACTAATTACCCATCAATCGAAACGAGGATCACAGATTTGCAAGCAGCATTCTCAGTAGTACATATACTGAAATTTTCAGCAAATTCAAATTTTTGGCCAAAAACATAAGTAAATTTTTGACCAAAATAGACTTTTCTCTCGGAATTGAATTTGAGGGGTTTAACCAATTAATTACTTCCAGAAGAACACACAAACACCAAAATTTCACCTGGGAAACCCATAGTTGGCTAGTAATTAGCATTGAAAAAGTCATAAGAATTTAAAAAGTCCTAAAAATACTCCAATCCTCATTAGGGCCAATAATTACCCCCCAATCGAAACGAGGATCACAGATTTGCAATCAGCATTCTCAGTAGTACATATACTGAAATTTTCAGCAAAATCAAATTTTTGGCCAAAAACATAAGTCTATTACCTTAGTAAATTTTTGACCAAAATAGACTTTTCTCTCGGAATTGGAATTTGAGGGGTTTAACCAATTAATTACTTCCAGAAGAACACACAAACACCAAAATCTCACTTGGAAAACCCATAGTTGGCTAGTAATTAGCATTGAAAAAGTCATAAGAATTGAAAAAGTCCTAAAAATACTCCAAGCCTCATTAGAGCCACTAATTACCCATCAATCGAAACGAGGATCACAGATTTGCAAGCAGCATTCTCAGTAGTACATATACTGACATTTTCAGCAAAATCAAATTTTTGGCCAAAAACATAAGTCTATTACCTTAGTAAATTTTTGACCAAAATAGACTTTTCTCTCGGAATTGGAATTTGAGGGGTTTAACCAATTAATTACTTCCAGTAGAACACACAAACACCAAAATTTCACCTGGGAAACCCATAGTTCGCTAGTAATTAGCATTGAAAAAGTCATAAGAATTTAAAAAGTCCTAAAAATACTCCAATCCTCATTAGGGCCAATAATTACCCCCCAATCGAAACGAGGATCACAGATTTGCAATCAGCATTCTCAGTAGTACATATACTGAAATTTTCAGCAAAATCAAATTTTTGGCCAAAAATATAAGTCTATTACCTTAGTAAATTTTTGACCAAAATAGACTTTTCTCTCGGAATTGGAATTTGAGGGGTTTAACCAATTAATTACTTCCAGAAGAACACAAAAACACCAAAATTTCACCTGGGAAACCCATGGTTGGCTAGTAATTAGCATTGAAAAAGTCATAAGAATTTAAAAAGTCCTAAAAATACTCCAATCCTCATTAGGGCCAATAATTACCCCCCAATCGAAACGAGGATCACAGATTTGCAATCAGCATTCTCAGTAGTACATATACTGAAATTTTCAGCAAAATCAAATTTTTGGCCAAAAACATAAGTCTATTACCTTAGTAAATTTTTGACCAAAATAGACTTTTCTCTCGGAATTGGAATTTGAGGGGTTTAACCAATTAATTACTTCCAGTAGAACACACAAACACCAAAATTTCACCTGGGAAACCCATAGTTCGCTAGTAATTAGCATTGAAAAAGTCATAAGAATTTAAAAAGTCCTAAAAATACTCCAAGCCTGATTAGGGCCACTAATTACCCCCCAATCGAAACGAGGATCACAGATTTGCAATCAGCATTCTCAGTAGTACATATACTGAAATTTTCAGCAAAATCAAATTTTTGGCCAAAAACATAAGTCTATTACCTAAGTAAATTTTTGACCAAAATAGACTTTTCTCTCGGAATTGGAATTTGAGGGGTTTAACCAATTAATTACTTCCAGAAGAACACACAAACACCAAAATCTCATGCAGTTGGCTAGTAGTAGCATTGAAAAGTCTCATATTTAAGCGTCTAAAATACTCCAAATCCTCATTAAGACCCAATAGTACCCCAATCGGAACGAGGATCACAGATTTTAATCAGCATTCTCCAATAATTTTGTATACTGAAATTTCAGCAAAATCAAATTTTTGTTAAAACATAAAGTAAATTTTTGACCAAAATAGACTTTTCTCTCGGAATTGGAATTTGAGGGGTTTAACCAATTAATTACTTCCAGAAGAACACACAAACACCAAAATCTCACCTGGGAAACCCATAGTTGGCTAGTAATTAGCATTGAAAATGTCCTAAGCATTGAAAAAGTCCTAAAAATACTCCAAGCCTCATTAAGGCCACTAATTAACTCCCAAACGAAACGAAGATCATAGATTTGCAATCAGCGTGCTCAGGAGTACATACAGTATACAGTATAGTCTGGATTTACGCTTTTTTAGTTAACGCGTTTGGTCATTTACGCCGTGACTTTGCCAGAATTGAAATGCTTTATTTACATGGTAAATTTGGTCATTTACGCAGGGCGGCTGTAAAGGTCCAGTCACACCGCGTGCCATTTTGTATTCAAGCGGCCCATGCTTGACCATAAGCGGGATGCGGGGAAGGGAGGGGTGCGCAGTATGTTGCTGTTGCATTATCGCTGACGTCATATGACGTATCGGACTGTGATTGGGCCACGCATCCTTACCTCCCTTCCCCGCTAGCTGTGATTGGTTTAATGTAATATGACGTGCTCTGCCACCAGAGGGAAGGAGTCGCTGACCTAGCCGAGCTACTCTCATTGTTCTCAGTTCTCCGTGTATACAATTGTCTTGAGTGACCGCTAATCTAGCAACAATGGCTTCCACTGGACCCCCACCACCACTTAAAAACCTTGAACTACCTGGCCAAAGCCGCCCCAAGCCTAAGAAGATAGGACGAGCTTTAAGCTATGAAGTTAAGTACAAGATCGTGCAAGAGTTGGAGAAAGGTACGAGGCAAGTTGATTTGGCGCATCAGCATGGCGTGAATGAATCTACGATCCGGACGATCAAGAAGGATGCCACCAAGATAAAAGAACACATGAGCATCACAAAATCTACAGGTGCTTGAATGGTGAAGTACTGTCAGAACAAGGCGCTGCTCAAGACTGAGAATTTTCTGGTGAGATACTTGATTCGTCAGGCAAGACGGAACATGGCGGTGGACACGCGGTCAGTTCAAGAGTACGCCCGTGAATTGTATGTAGCAGTGGCAAGCAAGATGGGAATTGCAGAGCCCAAACACTTCACTGCTTCCTCTGGGTGGCTGCAAGGGTTTAAGAAGAGGAACAAGATAACCAACATTAACATTGTTGGTGAAGGTGGTAGTGCTGACCGTGTTGCAGCAAGTGATTTTCCTCCATTCTTACGAGAAGTTGTGGAGGAAGGACAGTACACTGACGACCAGGTGTTCAACAGGGATGAATCCGGTCTGTTTTGGAAAAAGCTACCTAACAAGACCTTCGTTGTCAAGTCTGCCAGCAAGTGTCGGAGCCGCAAGTTGCAGAAGGAGCGCATCAACGTCCTGTTTACCACCAATGCCTCCGGTATCTGTAAGCTCAAGTTAATAGTGATCCACACAGCCCGCAAGCCGCATGCCTACAAGAACATGGACATGACCAAGCTAAATGTCCACTGGCTAACCGCACGTAAGGCGTGGATGTTCACTGGTCTGTCCCTCTCCTGGTTTGACGACTGTTTCGTTCCCGACGTGAAGAAATTCTGCGAGCAACAGAATGTTCCATTCAACAATTTGTTGCTCCTTCACAACGCACCAGGACACTCGCCCCTACTGTTGGATCGTCACCCCAACGTAAAAGTGGTCTTCCTTTTTCCCAACACTACGTCATTAATCCAGCCCATGGATCAAGAATTAATTTGTAATGTGAAGGCTGCTTTCTCCTCAAAGAAGTTTCGGCTCCTTAATGACTTGACCAACACAAAAGATGAGTTGCGGAACCTGAGTGACACCGATAGCAAGAACGACGAAAACGAGCAAGAAGAGTTGGCGGAGCAAGAAGTTCGCGTCAAACAGTTTTGGAAGAAATTCAATGTCAAGAAAGCTGTTGATTTCTTGGTGGAGGCATGGGGGCAGCTGTCTGTGGCAACGATTCGTCACGCGTGGCGGCATGTGTTGCAAGGTATCCCAGGTGGGAGGCAGAGGCAACCTGTGACTGGTGAGGTTCAGTCTGTTGCAGTGGACCTTGCAAGAGAAGCTGCACAGAGTGTTACAGCTGCAGGCTTCTCCGAGACCACCAATGAAGACATTGTGGAGGTGATCAGGGATCCTGAGGTGACTGCCGACGAGATGTTAGAAGACGATGACGTCAGTGAGGAGGCAGGTGGTGCAGTAGCCCGAGAAGAACAGACGTTAACACATGGTAATGTAAAGGATGCCATCGAGTTTGCAGAGAAACTCAAGCTCATCCTTTCCAACGACCCTGACAATCAATAGTATGAAGTCTTCAATAACCATCTAGAGCAAGGTATGGAGCAGTACATCACAATGTATCACGAACACATCAACACTAGCCGTCAGCGTAACATCATGGACTTCTTCGCCCGCAACCCACCACAGCCAGCCAAAGTCAGTGATAGTGACAGTGATGTTGACTTTGAGGGATTTGTCAGGGAGGCCCTGACATCTGTGGTGGATAGTGACAGTGAGTCACCTGAGGGCCACTAATCTGCCCTCTGCCTCGGAACCAGCCCCCATCCACATATGCCGACCCATCTCTTCTACTAACATAAGTGTTAAACCTTGATTTTTCTTTTACCTGGTACAGTATATTATTCTCTTATTGATATTTCTCTTCTATATTATGTGTGTGTGTGCAGACCATCATAAAATTAAGATATTATTTTTACTACAATGTACGTATTGTGTCAGAAAAAGTGGAGTTTGGGGGTTGGCCCAGTCTCTATTTCAATTAATCATATATGTTCTGTTATTTCGTTTACGAGTTTCTCGTTTTATTTGGACCTCCACGGGTTCAATTGACCGCGTAAATGAAGACTATATTGTACTATATCAATATTACCCTACAAAACAATCTAACCTTCGTTTACTTACAGTGTTCTGTTTCTGATTGTGTGGCTGTCAGAGATACAGTTGAGACCAAGACCATTTACAATTCTAACCTTCATGGATCATCTAAAAATTATCTAAAAACAGATAGTTTTAGGGTTGAACTTCAGACAGGTTAAGCAGAGGGGATGAAGCTTCAGGTGAACACATAGGAGGCCAATACTCAGCTCCAGTAATTCATAAAGGCTACACCACTGAGCTGTGGGGAAGAAAAAAAAAGAATAAAGGGGCAAATAAAACTCATGTGAAATTTGTGTAAGAAATAGCATCTACCTTTTAAGGTATTTTGTACCTTTTGTAAGTTTGGTATAGAAAAATACAAAACAATACACTTAAAATTTTATTAAAAAGTGCAAAAGCTGTAGAAAAGGCAAGTATTGGGAATGTGCATGTCACTGTGATCAAGTCACACAATATTGTAAATTATTGTTTCTCCATAAGATAAAAATGGCATCGTAAAAATTTTACAATAAAATATATTCACATTTCTCTTCAAAATTGATACTGGGGGCCCCCCAAATTCGCGGGGGTTAGGTTCTCAAAATGGCAACGAATAGCCAAATCTGCAAATAACATTTACGGACCGGGTGGGGGGGGGGTACATTTTTACTTGTGTACAAAAAAAAAAGAAATGTATATTCCCTTTATGTGTTTGCCCTTAGGACAATTATTTATTTTACCTGTATTGTATATATGTCTGTGTGCGTAGACACACACACACAAAACACATGCAAATAAATAATATAATGGGAAAATACTCTTACAGATAATCAGACAAAAATGTATTAAAAATGTAGTCTACCCTCAAGTCCGTGCTTTATTAATAAGTAGTAAAATACTTACTTGAGGGTAAACTTGTCACATTTTTAATAAATTTGTTTCTGATTACTGTACTTGTGAGAGGAGTTTCCTATTATTATTTATTTGTATGTGTTTTGCGCGCGTGCATGTGCATGTGCACGCACGCACACACACATATTTACAATACAGGTAAAGGAAATTACTGTCTCTAAAACGAATAGCTCCCTGTCTCAGCTGCAAAAATGCCAGCAACTTTAAAACTACCCACAGACATTCTTGGGTACATCCAGAGTGTCATCCGCGAATAATAGAGGACCGCGAAATAAAAATCCGTGAACTTGGGGGGGCCCCCCTGTACTGTGAATTTTTATATTAAATACAAAGACAGCACATGTATAAATTACCTGCAGGTTAAAAAAAATCAATAAAAATAACCATTTGACTGTAATACATATTCTTCAAAAAGAATGCCATGACTTCAGGAAGTCTAAATTTTCTGTTATATATTCTCATCTCCATATCTTTGCATAAGATCTTGTATAGTCAGTTCTTCATCCCCCTCATTAAGGCAAACCTCAAGAGGTAAGAATTCCTCAGGCTCGGATTCTTCACACTCTGAATCTGAACCTAAATCAATCACTTCTATTTCAAAAGGTTTTGTTTTGCTAGCTTTACTTCTGCTTCCTCTACAAGGGATTTTGCCAGATGACTGCCAGACAGAACACGTCCCTAAACCAGGGGTTCTGGAACTTATGTTGCTGCTGTGGCCACCGTCTTCCTTCTGATTTTTGCAATGAGACTGGAAATGAATTTCAAAGTTAAAAGCATGAGCAAATCTCTTCCCACAGTTGGTACAGAGGAAAGGCTTTTGAGTAGTGTGTGCTCGTTCATGTGCCACTAAACTACTGGAGTCAGTATAAACTTTCCCACACTCCTTACAGGAGTATGTTGGTGGATGAGCCATGATGTGGTTTTTAAAACTTCCCAGTTGGATGTAAACTTTTCCACATTTTCGACACTCGTACGACTTTTCCTGAGAGTGGATTTTGTAGTGGGTTTCCACACAACTTTCATTGCTGAATTTTCTTTCACATACACCACATTCAAATTTGTTTATGCCTGTGTCATTCATGCGATGATAGTTGAAGTAAAACTCCATTTTGAAGGTTTTACCGCAATCCTGACATTCATAAAGCTTCTTTCCGGTATGCATTCTTGCATGAATTCGGAGTGCCTGAGGAGCGGAGAATCTCCGGCCACACTCAAAACATTCATATATTGCATGTTGGATGTTTTCATTCATTATGCCAACATACAATGATATTCATTCTTAGATAAATCATCAGCATGAATTGTGTTAAATTCCCTTCAGTTGAAGTACGTAATACATAAGATGTATCTTATTGTACAATAGAGACAAAACACATCTCACTAATATAGTGAATATTTACAGTTTTGATTTCACTGACCTTCAGTGAAGTACTGGTCAATCAAAAGGTAAATAAATAGTTTACAACAAAAACTTTAACAAATTCTAAATACTAATATTGTACTTATGTTTATTGTAACTTGCAAAGTCTTGCAGTTCTTGTCACTGTACAGTACTAAGAACTGGCAGGTTGTACTGTACTTCTAAGTTACAGAGAACACAATGTTATGTAATTATAGACTGATTAATAAAACCAATGTGAGTAACACAGAACTACATCTCTGTACCTTGGAATAAACTTAGAGATAACTTGAAGCAACACAAGTACAGTATTAAAAATGACTAGTCTATGAGAGCACACTTTCATTTCCCAAAAACACATACAGTACTGTACTGGGTATAACTAATAATTATAAATCTATAATAATCTATGTCCTTATAAAAAATCTATAAATTAAGGTCCTGTTGTCTTAAATTACCAATAAATAAAACTATCTTTAAAAAAATATAAATAAATTAGCTAATTCGTCTACCTTTAGGTTCACAAATGAGTGATGATAAATTTCTACAAATAAAAATCTTAAGTCATTGTAGGCACCCGGGTAGTTGTGCCGAGTGTTGCCGTTCACCACAAAGATGCTGGCATGGTATATCTGCGTTGTATTCCATAAGTCAGTTACTTGCAGGGTACTGCCCTTATAGCCTCCTGCACCTAAGAACATAGATGAAACTTATTAGTTGATTAATTTTCTTAAGGTACACTCATAAAAACAGTACTCAGATATAAATATGAGCAAATTAATGGTCATCCATGGAAACTACAAACAAAATTAGGTTTTTCTAATGTATTTTGTGGTGTTTCAAGTGAATCTGACCTTCATTTCTACATTTTTATTGTAAATGTGCCATTATTGAGATAAAGCCCCCAAGCCGGAATTCTCCGGAAAATTCCGGCTTTGAGAATGATTTTCTGAGAAAATTTCAATTCCGGCTATCGGAGAGTTCTGGGTTTGAAGGATTCCAGCTAATGGAGATATTACTGTATTCTTACTATCAGTATTTCTTTATATTCCTAAAAATACCTTGCATAGGTAGAATAAAAAACACAAATGAAGTAATTAGGAATAAAATAAATAAAAAATACAAGTACTGTAGTTTCTTGTATTCCTGAACACAGAAAGGAAAACTATACAGTATTTTGTTTAGTCATTATTAGCTCTGATTTCAGTCATATGATTATTATGTCTTACTACTGTCATAAAAGAGGATACTGAATAATAAGAAAGCAAAATAATGATTGCTTATAAGCAATCATTTTACATTATTGTTTTGAAACTCGCTCACTGAATCGCACTTATGACTATTTTAAACATTTACATTGCCAAGTTTATAAATTGAAACTGCCATATCTATTAGCCTGAAATCTGCAAATTGCAATAGTTATTCTAAACCACACAGTGTGAAATATGTATTTGTAGTGCAATGTTTATGTGACACAGTAAGATACTTATGTAATGATATACAACCATTTTAAAGCTCCATTGCATTTCACTATTTCAATGCACTTTCCTACAAGATTTACATAATCTTTTTGTAATCATAGATGAAGCTAAAATTTTATATAACTCCTCCAAACTGTGTTAAATTCAATTCTATTTTTATTTCATTCTGTGCTCGGGGTACTTGCCCCCTGTGCCCCTCCCTTAATCCTGCCCTGAATAGTTCATAATAAGCTATAATAATGCTGTGACAGCAGCAACCTATGCATGGTATATATAATAATAGGTATGGATTATCACTTGAATTGGGTGCCAGTAAACTTGGGTACGAGTTATCTAAGCTACGAGTTGACGTGGGTACATGATGACCCTAACCAGTCAAAAACCATTGGAAACACATTGTTTGGATATCTAACTTAACCTAAGGGTAACCTAACCTAATTCCTAAGATTCCTCAAATGACCGAAACTAAAATAATACCTAAGACACTTACTATAATGATAAGAACATCTGTGGAAAAAATTAACGTAATAAAACCACTCCTGGTGGGAGTGGTGTTCTTATACATTACCATTATTATTAATCTATTAAAATGCTGGAGGAGTTTTGAATAATTTTACAGTGACGAATGTTCAGCTAATGTTCATATTTCTATTTTCCTCCAGTAAGAAAATAATTTAACCTAAAATAAAAATCCAATGCAAATCTCGTCACATATTTAATACCTTAACCCGTTATATTAAGATCATATGTTACGATAATTAACCTTTTTCCAGGTGAATTACCCCTCACGGTATCTAATCTCTCTCATAAGATTTAACAATAAGAGATAAGAACCCCGTAAAGTCAATATAAAGATGAACATTTTGAACCAGGACAGCAGAGGCTAGTGGAGGGAGATGTGAAAAACTTACAATTACCACATTCCTTTGTCACTTCTACATAGCTCTCAGGCCATTTTACTCAATAAACACCTATACTTTCTATGTTAATCCCACTTATAAATTACCTTGATTAAATATGACGTAGGCTATATTACCTGTAACTTGAGCCAAATAATGTGATAATCTCTTGTCCTAGGCCCCTCTGGTTTGTTTGGTTCCAATAACTTGTGAACACCACTTGATGTTCTTATAATCGTGTAGCGTAAAATTAAATGATCTAAAGATATTTATTAACCATGTAATTGAGTTTAAGTGATGTTTTTACGGAATTTTAGTATTTAATTATATCATAAGTCGTAAAATATATTGCAGGTTTATTTTTGTTTTTATATGATGTGTTAAAAATTGAGAGTTAAATCGCTGTCACAGTTGAATTGATTGGCTCTGGTGACATCTGGCATTTAATATTTTATTCTCCCCAAGAGTCTTTATAATGTATTAGTTTTTACATGTCGATTTTATTTCGATTGTATATAGTTTAGATTTAGATATGTGGGTTATGTAGGCCTCTAAATTAATGAAGTCTATTCTTAATAACATAATTTGACATTAATTTCACAATTTAACAACTCTCGGTTCAACAAGGGCAAACACGTCTACTTATTACAAGACGATCAATGTTAACTTGACTGCCAAGCTAAATAAAATTATCTATTTCAGTCTCTCTCTACATTTTCTATTTACACAGACTCGACAACAATTTTACGTTATTAAATTGTTAACTTTAAAACCAAGCTGTTACCATGTTTCTACATATAATACATAAATTCGCTTATATTCTTATACCTGCATTCAATATATCCGGTATTTAAATTTTATTTCACTTTATGTTTATTAACTTTTACACAGTGAATATTATGCTTTATTGTGGTTCGGGAATGAAATTCAGTTACATAAGGTAAAAAAATATGTGGACACAACCTTACGTCAATATATCATTTGAATTGTCAATCGAAATCAATGTTGAATCACAAGTTGAAGTGATTTAAACATACGATTAACTATTTCAATTTCTTATTTAACTACTTTTTAATCTCGCCTGCGCTTCAACAACGATAACAAATTGTGAGAAATAGGAAGGATTCTTAATATCGCCTATACTTAGAGTAATTAATTTTGTTAGCTGGGACACTTTACCTTTGTCTTGGCTGTATTTCTACAAGATTAGTATCTCCTGATGATATGCATTTATGAGTGAAATAAGGATTTTGGTGTGATGTTTATCCATATAAAAAAACTCGCACAAGAGCAAATAAGCACTCGTAAGCATACTGTACAAACGCGTACACACACCAGCACGCAGTTCACACCTGACTTTTAGTTCCCTATATTTAACTACACAGTTGCAGCGACCACATCTGAACAACGAGACTAACTTTTTCTTATATTTTATTAATAATATTTTTAATTGAGATGTAATGGGCGAGGGGACGTGTATATAAGTGTGAATTCTGAAGGGCAATGTTACTAACGGATCACTTGAAGATTTGACACCCCAGCTTTTTTCCCCTGATGATAAGGTTAGTTTAGGTTAAGTTTGCGTTTAGGTGGTTAATCATCAGGCGATCCAAAGCAACCTGTATTCCAGCAAGGCTTGTCTAGTATATCATGGATAGGATATATACGCCTAGTAGTGTGGAAGGAGATTCTTTGCAAAGCCCTGATAGAAAAACAAGATGGATTTGGGTAGGGGATTGTGCGGTCTTATTTTATTTGTTTTAATGGTTAAAACTTAAACTTTAGTTTTTCTTGCAGCTCCCTCAGGGTTCTACCTATCTAGATGTCGTTGGGCATACTGATACCCTGGCACAATACCCACATTCAGAACATTCTCTGGGCAGCTACGGTATTCTGGGGTGTTAATGGGATGTGGCAGACAGGTGAAGACGTTTGAGAATGCTGAATAACTTGAATCTATGTTTATGACAATAGTAAACGTGTGTATTCCACAAACCACTGACTGTCACAGATAATACTGTTATTCATGCCCCAGCTGATACTGTCTTCTAGTCACAACTAACACTATCTGACTGTTACAGCTGACTGTACTCAACGCTGGCAGGAAGTACCTCGGGGTGGAGAACCTGGCAGGGCGGGTGTTGGTCACGTCAGGTCTGGGCGGCATGAGTGGTGCTCAAGCCAAGGCGGCCGTCGTCTGTGGCTGCATTGGTGTTGTGGCCGAGGTATGTATACCCCCATCATTAATTACCTTCATAGCTCACGTAATAAAGATGATTAAGGTCTCTTGTATGGTGCTAAAGTGTACGTATCAAGTTAAGGTAGAGCCTCAGTGTATTTTTAATGTTAGTTTTCTACGTTCATTTAGTTCTGTGGCTTATATTAAATAGGTGTATTCCAAGAAATATTTAATTAGCTAAAAACATTTATGATAATTGACCCTCTTACCTATAATGATCATTTATTATTATTTGTATTAGTAAAATTATTATTTTTCTTTGGGTTATAATCAGCAGTTATGGGTATACACGATACCTCAGTTACGGCTACATAAAGAACTCAGTGCCATTATAATCAATAATTACCGGTCAGGAAGTCAAGTTGTAAATCTTCCTTATGATATCATGTAAACGAATTATTATCAATATTATTAATCCTAGTTAGGGATCAGGAACAGGAGTTATTATTACCATTTCTATAAATAACTTCGGGAGGATATCAAGCCTACGTATAAATTCTGTGACAATAATCCTTGAAAATATCATATATCAAATTTAATATTCACCGCGGTTCATATTTCCGCATGATTTTTTTTAGGTATATATTCAAATGAATTTACTCGGCTTTTGATGCCCAATTTACTTCAAGTCACGCAATGTTATTTTTTCGTTTTTTAATTGAAATTATTATGTTCGTTATTTAAAAAGAGTTTGACGCTCCGTGGATCAATTAGTCAGTCAATAGGCTATGCTGTTGGGTATCGAATAGGTGTTTCTTTCTCAAATGTTCTCCTTATTCAATTTTAACATATTTTTCCGTCTATTTTTTATAAGTTTATCCTTGTGTCTGTTTGTCTTTATCTTCTTCTTTGTTATCTGTCTGTCTGTCTCTTTTGTTTCTGTTTGTCCTTCCCTGTGTCTAATATCCATGTTTCTCCCATGTCCTATTCCCATATCTTGGCCCATATCCTGTCGTAATAACCCCCCACACCATGTCCTATCCCCACGTCCCTTCTTACATCCTCCTTTACCCCATGTCCTTTTCCTGCCACGTATCCAATCCCCATTTCCTATTCTCATTTCTCCCTGCTCTCGGTGTCTCTCCCCCATCAAATATGTCTTCCACCTTCTATTGTGGTTTTAACGTGAGGAGGTGTTGACAGGTGAGCAAGGAAGCCCTGTTGAAACGACACAAACAAGGGTGGCTGGAGGAGTACACTGACGACCTAGAGGTACTGGTGAGACGTATCCGTGAGGCGAGGACCAAGAAGCAGGTATAGTACTGTTATATAAATTAAAGTGTGTGTGTGTGTGTGTGTGTGTGTGTGTGTGTGTGTGTGTACTGTATTCACCTATACAATAAAATCATTATAATCTCGCGCCCCTTCATCATTATAACCATAGCTACAGCACTACCTGGCCTCCTCCTTCAGGCTACCTCCATCGGGTATCAGGGTAACGTAGTGAACGTGTGGGAGAGGCTACTGAGGGAGTACGAGACCACGGGGGAGCTGCTGGTGGACTTGGGATCAGATCAGACCTCATGCCACAACCCCTTCAGTGGCGGTTACTGTCCCGTCCAGCTTACCTTCGACCAGGCAGAGGAGGTATGTGGGATATTAACCACCATTCAGAAAGGACAGGGTTAAGTTTGTTACGGTATGCATGGATTATATTACATTAGATAAATGTATATATAGCTTAGTTTATCATCAACATTTTCTGTGATTAATACTTAAAAGAAAACGAAATTTAGTTGGGATACTTATGTAATTTCACATTAAAGTTACCAGTGCTGTACTATACAGATTTAATAGTGTTTTATTGTCATTTATTAACTCTCTTTTTTCATATATTTTATTTAGGGTTCAACTAGTACATTTATTACCAATAGCTTATTTTTTTAGTAATAATTTGAAAAACTACTGATGGATAATAATTTATTTGACGACATTATGTTATTTTCATCGATTATTATTTATTAATAAAATTTTGTAGTCGTTGTTTATTGTACGTATTATGTATTTCCAATACTCGCTTGACAGATGTTGATCAAGAACCCGAACAAGTTGAAGACACTGGTGCAGGAGTCGCTACGTCGGCAGGTGGTGGCCATCAACAAGCTGTCTGACGCTGGCCTCTTCTTCTGGGACTACGGCAACGCCTTTCTGCTCGAGGCTCGGCGGGCGGGGGCTGACGTAGGCGCTGTCGGGGCAGATTCTATCAAATTCCGCTACCCCAGCTACGTCCAGGATATCATGGGGTAATGTTTACGGTCCTACCAGTGGCTCTGTTGTGCTACTGTGTATGAGTGTAGCATTTTACTAAAAGACTCAGCCTAACTTGACACAACTGAAAACTTAATAGAGAAAAATCGATTTGATGGGATTTATTGTAATATTATTTTGGTAATGGATTTTTCTTTTGTCGAATCAAATGTCATCTCATGGGATTTTCTCCAGCCACCCAGTCAATGGAGGACAGACACATCTTACATAAACCTGACATAGCCTATTGGAGTCTCGTGATTGAACAACGCCAACACCATCACCACCTTCTCATGTTTATCTCTTGGTCACAGGGACATCTTCTCGCTGGGCTTCGGGCCGTTTAGGTGGGTGTGTGCTTCAGGGGATCCAACTGACCTGCAGAAGACGGACGAGATAGCCTGTGAGGTCCTGCAGGCCATCTGTGAGGGTAAGTGGTAGACAGAGGCGCTGACGAAGTACTTGGTATTTTTAATAAATTTACGGTAAAGAAATAACCGAAAAGGACCTTCCATGGCATAATAATAATAATAATAATAATAATAAGCAATGACGATGTTTAGGATATGAATAATTTTGTTGAAGAACCTGACAACATTTAAAATATATATACTAAATAAAATAAACATTCTACGAAATAAACATAAAAAAATCCATATATTTATTTACGAAACATCACATAAAATAACGTCACTACTTCTTATTGAAACGCAGAAGGTATCCCGGAGCGAATACGTCAACAGTACACGGACAACATGAAGTGGATCCGCCAGGCTGGTGAACATAAGCTAGTGGTGGGAAGTCAAGCCAGGATCCTGTACTCAGACCAAGTGGGTAGGGTTAGGATAGCCCAGGCCTTCAATGACGCCGTTAGGACTGGTAAACTTAAGGTGAGATGGATATGATGTTATTTCTCTCTCTCTGTTTTATTTTCACACTTATTTTCCTTTTCATTCACTCTTACTTTCTAATTTTTCTTACGATTAGATTTGTCTCTGTCTCATTTATTCTCAAAACATTCATTTTCAATCTTTCTCGCTACTTCTCTTTTTCTAACATTCTTCCAGTCTTCCTCTTTCACACCCAGTACCAATTAATCTGTTTTTATGTCATGTTTATTTTTGGTAATGATTGTAGGAGAGAGAGAGAGAGAGAGAGAGAGAGAGAGAGAGAGAGATTCCTATATACCTTGCAGGAGAGTGACCAGATTCCCTTTATCCTCCAGGGCCCCGTGGTAGTCAGCAGAGACCACCATGACGTCAGCGGTACGGACTCACCCTTCAGAGAGACGTCCAATGTTGACGACGGGTCTGCCTTCACTGCTGGTAAGAAAGAAAGAAATCAACAACTTTCCTCTGACTTCACTGATGATAAACAATAATAAAAAATTTTCCTCATGTGATCTTGTTTTAAATTTTAGTGAGACGTCAAATAAATATATAGATAGGGTTGATAAATAGGCAGACATTCAAATAGAGAAGTATACAATAAATTTTAAACACATGCATTAAATAAGCATATTATAATTTAATTAACGCCAAAAAAGTATAACAAGTAAAATTTCAGTAATATTTAAGTTTAATTTTATGGCAAAAGTTTCAGTAATATCGCAACAGGGAAAAATATCAGTGTTTATGATCGGTCAAATGTTTAAATCACCCTTGTTTACATCCTGGACAGATATGGCAGTGCAGAACTTCGTCGGCGACTCAATCCGAGGTGCAACTTGGGTATCTCTTCATAACGGTGGCGGTGTGGGATGGTGAGTTAGATGGTTGAATGATTGGGGAATATTAATACAATTGGCAGCCACTTCATGGATTTATTAATCTAGAATACGTGCTTAAAGACTTTGGTTGTTGAAGCGTAGTGATACACAATAACAACAAAATTGCTGGGCGCCTTCTTCTTCCGCCCGTCGTTATGTACTGGCTGACATCACGATTCACGCTTCCACATTCTCCACAGCCCACGCTCCGCTTCCTAGCAACATTCTCTCATTCCTGTACCCCGATTTGTTTGGCTTTCTTTGCTTAACCCTTGAAGTTAATTGGCGTTCTTATCGTCACTTCCGGCTTTCTCCCGCCAGAGCGCGCGATCGTCTCATTATCAAGCCAAAATAACACAAGAGTTTCCGCTCCAGGGTTTATCATTTTCTGCTGAAAGCGAGCGAAGAGGGAGACGCTACACGCAGCACCTCCCCACCACACCTCTCCCTTCCAAGCAGCGCCAATAGGAAAAGTAAGATCATTGATGGTTTGGAATTCTTGTGTCTTCCTCACATTGATGTTTGGCGACCTCTACTCCCCCGGTTCATGCATGAATACCGTGCCATCACGCCATAGTGCGTTTATATAGAGGATACAATAGAGGCAGTGTGCAAGTAATGCATCTATATTTGCCGACCCCTGACCGCGGAAGTTCATCATTCCAGTCACTTTTGGCGTGTGTGTGTGTCCGTCCGTCTGTCTGTTATTTCTTCATAGATATTAATATTCCTTTTTTATTCTTTATTTTCTTTAGAACGGATTGGATTCCTTGACCTCACATATATTTTGGAAAGTTAACGACGAAAAATGATTTAAGTAAACTAGTCCATGGTCTTGTTGTGATATATATACTTAAAACAGCCTGGTTAAAATCGTGTTTCAGATAATCCGATGACAGTGCTTTTACTCTCCACCGATTGTAAACAACATCAGCCACTCCCACTTCCCTAGCGCAGTGATGGAGGCCAAGAATAAGTTGGATGAAATAAATTTCTCGTGAATTTAGCCAAATAAAAAGTTTATCGCCATGTACCTGCGTAAACATTTATTCAAATCAAACTCTATAAATTACTTTATAAACAACATTGCTTTGTGGAACTGTAGTTAACTTTGTATTTACTGTAATTATTTGTGTCTAGTTAACTCTGTAATCAGCAAGTGATGAAGTCATATAATTAACGGAGGTCTGTTAACAGGGGTGAGGCAATCAACGGAGGGTTTGGCTTGCTCCTAGACGGCTCAGAGGACGCCAACTACCGAGCATCTCTCATCCTCAACTGGGATGTGTCCAACGGTGTCGCCAGAAGGTAAACTTGGAATATATGTCACCCATACAAACCCACAGACAAACAGAGTGTAGCACTAAATATTAGGTGACTGTGAAATAATTTATACTCTATTTCTATAAAGGGAAAATTAAAAAAAAATATATAAATCAATATAAATGAAGCTGGAATATATGTCACGGTAACTCATAACGTCATAAGATGGTAAGTAACACTGGAATATATGTCACCTCTATTGAGCTCGTAGGTAAATATATAGAACTATTACCAAACACACTTACATACAGTCACATACGTAGTTATACCACCATATCACATTAGAAATATATTTGTTATTGTTTAATTTACTTGTATCTAAGTTACCGTGTGTGTCCCTTCCCCAGAGCGTGGAGCGGCAACGAGAACGCCGAGTCAACCATCCTACGCTCAATGACCCTGGACCGGCGTCTCAAGGTCACTTTCCCTCACCATGCTGATCCTAGCCTAGTGGCCCGCGCCCTGGACCAAGCCTAGATCCTGGACCACGCCTAAACCCTGCCCTGGACCACGCCTAGATCAAGCCCTGTGCTTTGGACCAAATTTACAGTAGACCATATCCCTTTCCACCCCTATAGTACCCAGTAGAAAGAAGAACCTCCTCCCTCTCAAAATGTCCCACCAAACTCTCCAAAATCTCACATTAATCACGACATTTTACACCCTGTTGTCATCAGTTCAACCTTCAGTATAGTAGTAAGTTCCAGATTTTAAACAGACATAGATATATACAATGAAAAAACACATATTAAAACCTAGAAAGTATTATTATCTTCAATCCTACTTTCGATTTTGGGAAAAGTTTTATAAATTTGATTGTTAGAACTAATATATACTTTTTTTATTTTTTTTTCAAGTTAAAGTTTATTTGCTAACATGGTAAGGTATTGTTTTCCTGTGTATATTAATAAACATGATGGGAATAAAGATAAGGGAAAGTTGTCTGAGATATTACATTAACCTTCTTACGACCAACGAGTGAGTGAGTGTACAGCACCTGACCTCTTGTGTCAGCTGGTGTAGTGACGGTGATAAGATAAAAGTGACTCTGTTTATATCTCTACTATTCTGGACACACATATTCACATCATTGTATTATACTGTGTGTGTGTGTGTGTGTGTGTGTGTGTGTGTGTGTGTGTGTGTGTGTGTGTGTGTATTTTACCCTCTTCCTCTGCCCCTGTTGAATATTTTCCATAATACTTTACATTTTAAGTTCACGAGTCGGTCATCAGAGGCGCTTCAACCACTGTCCACATACATCATTTTCTTTGGACAGTGACGCCATTCGTTCTCGCTATTAAGTTATTTTTACCTTGAACTGTGGTCTTTCAACTGTATCTACGAAAATAGCATCCATCCTTCCATTATATCAACTAACGAGTCAATAATTGCGTTGGTAAATGGACTGGCAAGCAACTGCAGGAAGAGGAAATGTGTAGTGCTTACTGTTGAGGAGATAATAAGCATTTTAAAACACTTTGAGCAAGGAGGTCTTAGAGCACAGCTGGTATGTACTGAGTATGATAATGGGAAGACTACTTTACCCGGCTATAGTGTGTGGTAGGGAGGCAGTACAGTGTGTGGTAGGGAGGCAGTACAGTGTGTGGTAGGGAGGCAGTACAGTGTGTGTGGTAGGGAGGCAGTACAGTGTGTGTGGTGGGAGGCAGTACAGTGTGTGGTAGGGAGGCAGCAGCAGTGTGGTAGAAGGCAGTACAGTGTGTGGTAGGGAGGCAGTACAGTGTGTGGTAGGGAGGCAAAGTGTGTGGAGCCACATGTGTGGTAAGGCAGTGCACAGTGTGTGGTAGGGAGGCAGTATAGTGTGTAGGAGGCAGCACAGGTGTGGTAGGGAGGCAGTACAGTGTGTGTGGTAGGAGGCAGCATAGTGTGTGGTAGGGAGGCAGTACAGTGTGTGGTAGGGAGGCAGCACAGTGTGTGGTAGGAGGCAGCATAGTGTGTGGTAGGAGGCAGTACAGTGTGTGGTGAGGGAGGCAGTACAGTGTGTGGTAGGGAGGCAGTACAGTGTGTGGTAGGAGGCAGTACAGTGTGTGGTAGGGAGGCAGCAGTGTGTGGTAGGAGGCAGTACAGTGTGTGGTAGGGAGGCAGTACAGTGTGGTAGGGAGGTACAGTGTGTGGTAGGGAGGCAGCACAGTGTGTGTGGTAGGAGGCAGCATAGTGTGTGGTAGGGAGGCAGTATATAGTGTGTGTGGTAGGAGGCAGTACAGTGTGTGGTGGAGGCAGCACAGGTGTGTGGTAGGAGGCAGTACAGTGTGTGGTAGGGAGGCAGCATAGTGGTAGGGAGGCAGTATAGTGTGGTGGTAGGGAGGCAGTACAGTGTAGTAGGGAGGCAGACAGTGTGTGTAGGGAGGCAGACAGTGTGTGGTAGGGAGGCAGTACAGGTGTGTGGAAGGGAGGCAGTACAGTGTGTGGTAGGGAGGCAGTACAGTGTGTGGTAGGGAGGCAGCATAGTGTGTGGTAGGGAGGCAGTACAGGTGTGTGGTAGGGAGGCAGCAGTGTGGTAGGAGGCAGTACAGTGTGGTAGGGGCGTATATGTGGTAGGGAGGCAAAACAGTGTGTGGTAGGAGGCAGTATAGTGTGTGTGGTAGGCAGCACAGTGTGTGTAGGGAGGCAGTAGTGTGTGGTAGGAGGCAGTACAGTGTGTGGTAGGGAGGCAGTACAGTGTGTGGTAGGGAGGCATAGTGTGTGGTAGGGAGGCAGTACAGTGTGTGGTAGGAGGCAGTATAGTGTGTGGTAGGGAGGCAGTACAGTGTGTGGTAGGGAGGCAGTACAGTGTGTGGTAGGAGGCAGTACAGTGTGTAGGAGGCAGTACAGTGTGTGGTAGGAGGCAGTACAGTGTGTGGTAGGGAGGCAGTACAGTGTGTGGTAGGGAGGCAGTACAGTGTGTGGTAGGGAGGCAGTACAGTGTGTGGTAGGGAGGCAGTACAGTGTGTGTAGGGAGACAGTACAGTGTGTGGTGAGGCAGTACAGTGTGTGTAGGGAGGCAGTACAGTGTGTGTAGGGAGGCAGTACAGTGTGTGGTAGGGAGGCACAGTACACAGTGTGGTAGGGAGGCAGTACAGTGTGTGGTAGGGAGGCAGTACAGTGGTGGTAGGGAGGTAGAAGATATAACACAAAGGACTGAGGGAGGAGAGAGAAGAGGAAGGAAGGAGAGAGAGAGAGAGAGAAGAGGAAGGAAGGGACAGAGAGAGAGAGAGAGGAAGAAAGAAGGATGAGGGAGTCGCACACAAACGATCTGCTAGGGAGCCCTGAGACCAGCTTATCACTTCCATAAAACTCGAAGCAACATCTTCTGTAGGAGATATGTTTACGTGCTATAACCTGGGAATAGGAGCTCTGAATATGAGAATTTCCCTTCCTCTCCCCCTCTCTCTCTCCCACCTCCCTCTAACCTCTTCATGCTGTTGTACCACTCCCAGCACCTTACGTCACCCCATCTCTCTCCCAGCCTCCATCTCAGCACACGGAAGCTCCACATATTTCCACAGGATTTGAGTCTACAGATATTATGATATTCATCTTGGCAGAAATCCTCTCCCTCTCTTCTCTTTGTCCTCCCTCTTCTCCTCTCTTCTTTGTCCTCCTCTTCTCCTCTCTTCTTTGTCCTCTTCTTCTCCTTCTTTCATGAGCCGTAGGTTTGTAGGGGATGGAAGGACAGATAGATGGAAAGAGGGGGGGAAGGTCGTAATCTCATTAGCCAACATAGCGGTTCTCTCGTCGTGACTGCCGACATGATAATTTGCATATAGCACTTTGAGGGATAGAAGTAATTAAAGGAATATTTTTGTGGGTCGGAATACCTCGTTCTCTCAGCCCTACTCTCTCTCTCTCTCTCTCTCTCTCTCTCTCTCTCATGTATAAACGCTTGTCAGTATTTGTATTGCGGAACGGATGAAAAAAAAATGTTACGGGGATTCGTGTCTTTAAAAAATATGACGCATTAAGCTCGGGACGACAAACGAAAATATCTCTTGGATTTAGTGTGAGAGAGAGAGAGAGAGAGAGAGAGAGAGAGAGAGAGAGAGAGAGAGAGAGAGAGAGAGAGAGAGACCAACACCAACTCATTACTCTCAAACAGGCATCTATCCTCACCCCTCTCCTCATCAAAAGAACATGCAAATTGACAAAATCACAATACAGAGTTCCCTCCCTCCCCCACCCCTTACCGCGTCATTTCTTTCAATAAACCACCATCTAACTCACACACACACACACAGAAGCTTCTACACCATCCCCGACACCGGCCCCTACTACCACCTGAGATCCCTGTCCGAGAATTGCTGTTCGACACCACAACCGCATCCAGCCCATACGTGCACGAACTGATCGCTAAGAACAGCCCAGTCCCAACCATTGTAAAATTATCAATAACATGTAATAAATCAGTGTATTCAATTCCAGTAAACACTGCCCCTACACTGTCACTATGTTGAAATGAACTGTATTTGAGCTGATCCCCATCTGTTACTATATGTCTTATTTTGTCATTATGTCACTTGTATATTATTTGTAATTCGTAACCCATTCCCCAAATATGTAACTGTATATTTTCAGCCTTCTGCTGCCAAGCTCTTTCAATAAACCGTTAATTATTATTATTATTATTATTATACACACACACACACACACACACACACACACGTACACGTAACACGTTCTTGCGTTTATGTGGATATTTTGTGGTCTATGGCGAAAAAGAAGAGGAGAAATAAGAGAAGTAGGAGAAGAGAGAAGTGGGAAGATGTAGGAGACAGAGAAGAAGAGGAAGGGCATATACGAGAAGAGGAGGATTAGGAGGAAAATGAAGAGGAATAGGAGTAGAAGAACTAGAAGAAAGAAGGGAGAAGTAAAATATGAGGAATAGGAGGCGGAAAAGGAGAGAATAAGTAAATTGAAAAGAGAAAAGTTGAAAGATGGAATAATAATAATAATAATAATAATAATAATAATAATAACAACAACAATAATAACAATAACAATAATAATAGCAAACATAAAAACAGTAATAATAATAATAATAACAATAATAACTACAACAATAAAAATAACGAATAAAAGAAGGAATAAACACAAAATAAGAGAGATACTAAAAGAAAAACAATGATACTTTACCTACCAAACATAGAGAAAGAAAGAAAAAGACTCGATTCTCAAGGTGCCACAATAACTTATGCAAACGATACGATGAGGAGATGGGCAGAGGAGAAAAGGAAAGGAGAAGAGGATGAGGGAGAGGGGATGAGAGGAGGAGGAGGAGGTAAGTGAGAAGTAAAAGAAAAAGCAAGAAAATAAAACAGCTCATATTACCAACGATTATAAATATAAAAATGTTAATAAAAAGACAAACAAAAAGGTGTAGGAGAGTCAACAAAAGGAAGAAAAAACAAAACAAAAATATCCAGAGCACAGGACGAGGACATAAACGGTATATACTCCCGCCTCCTCTCTCCCAACACACACACACACACACACACACCCAAATTTCTCCTTTCTCTCTCACACACTCTCAAATTCAAAACAATTTCTTTTTTTTTTACCACCACTAGCATGTTTTTTTTCTTTTCTCTCTCTTATTCTCTTAATTCTT